CAATACCATCTGTTTGAAATTGATGTGTGTGTGTATATATGAAGAACTGCATACTACTTGGATGTAAAATAATTGCCATCATGGTTTTGTCAAGCTGCTGCCTACCTTTGTAAAGCAGGAAAAAGACTAATACAAAGTGAATGCAGTAGAACTTTTTATTGCCTACCTGGAATGGGTGACAATTCTCAAAATGGTATCAGTGCCATATTTGTTTGTACTCGCTGATACCGATACCACCATTTTAGTGCTGGATCGGGGCCCCGCTCGATACTGGTATCGGTGCAACACTAGTATAGGGTTTAAAGAATCTGTCCTAAACTTTTCTTTTCAGCATTACTTTTACTTTTATATTTTACATAGTATTAAATATGGTACTAAATGGTACTTATGTCCAAAATGTAAGTCTCCAATCTGAGTACAATAGTTTTGTAAACAGGAAAAAAAAAAAAGAAAACAGCTAATTAATTTCATTCCAGAACACAAAGTATTTCAGTTTGAATATATGAATTTTTTTCTTTAATATTTACAGAATATAAAAATATTCTCTGCAATAAGGAATCTACAACTCAGATTGCCTTCTAAGCCCAACAACAGCCTAATTAAAGTAGCATCATCAGTAAATATGGGTTCCCTCCCCTGAGATGCTCAAATAAACACTCTGAGCAGCTAATTACATGACAATGAAAGATTTTCTCACTGAGTTTACGTGAGCCGTCCGTGAAGTAGGGATTACATTTATGGAGGCGCATCTTTTTGGTGACATTTACTTGCACTGCTACCTGTCTCTACAGATCAATACAGTAATGAAACTTCTTGGCAAGAAAAGCACAAACCAACAAAGCTCTCGTTACTTTATCCTTACACACATCATAACAGAGTTGCCTACATAAGTCAGCCATGACAGTCTCTTCAATTATGTGACAGTGGGGAGAAAGAAGCATGATGGATTGGTGTCAAATCTCCAGGGAGCCATATAAGCAATACAGCGTGCAGGGGCTGCCCATCTGTCAACAATCTCAATTAACTGCTGTAAAGATACAGGCACCCCACTCTTTTATATAACAAGAACAAGGGCGTCTATCTAAACAGCGGGCGGCATCCTATTTTTACAAGAAGAAAACTGTGTATTTAGATGAGCAGGATTTGCCCATCCATCAGCTAGGGGGCTAGAGCAAATTGAAATCTGACATTTAGAGCCTCAAAGGCTTCTTTCACCAGCTCTGATATGAACTGCAGCATGTGACAAATTGTCTGTATCCAGCTTGTCCCAGGGTGAAGCCTCTGATAATGTTTAGAGATGAAATGGCCACCCTTGACATTTCACTGAAAGGTCATATTTTGTGTTCATTACTGCTCTCTTTTACATACAGCCAGCTTTGGGGAATGAGAAGGACTGTCACAATCTGTGTTTGCACCAATTTGATAAATTATTACCTTATTATTTTAATGGTGAATAAAAAGTATGCAAAATATTGCAGAGTTACCCTATTTCCTTTGAACATGCTTAGAAGGGATAAATCATAAAAACCTATGATTTTAATTATTCAGATGATGATTTATTGCTTATTTTAGTTCATAATTTGGTTTCTTAAAATAAACATTGTTTTAACCAACTGTGACTCAATTTTCTTGATTGGTTACTTTCCTACATTGTGGAAGAATTAAGATTAAATGGAGGACATTTTTTTTACTTATCAACAAAACGCATTGAGTCACACAAAGCAATTATGATTAAAGCATTGTTGCCTATTTTTTCTCCAGGTTTGTATAGATGGGAAACTGCAGAAAAAAAGCAGATCTGCAAATAAAATATCTGAATATGTAATTTCACACAAAAGAGCAAAGTGCAGCAATAACAGAACTCATCAATATCTCCACATGAGAAGATCTGTGACAACTTCACGAATGCAAACATCCAGATTAATTTCATTCAGTGGTAGGGTGTCCAATTTACAGATAAATTGAGAAACCTTTCTATAAGTCTTTTAACATCAGTGCAGGATAAATTACTGTCTCACTATTCCACCTATTAAACAAGCAAAAGCAGCTTCAGTATGTATGTTATGACAAACAGTGTGTGTGGCATTTTTATTAGCTGTGTTCCTCCGGGACCAGCGGGATAAATTGGATCACTTTCCATCAGTCCTGCTGCCTGCTGGAAGACAAATACAAATAAACACCCAGGGTGTCAGCCAAGATTCTTCTTTTAAATGTGTGGATCATCGGAAAATGTAGTTTTGTTCGGATGCAATGTGATGGCTCACTGCTTACATAAGAACTGCAGTCAATGTATGAAAAAATAAAATGAATAATCAGCCTAACCATAGATTATCTAAAATGTGCCTTCTGTAAGCTTTAGACAAGTAAAAGCGATTAACCCTGAGCACCTCAATGATGAGACTCCATTTTGAAGAATGGGCACCCTGATTTCAGTCCATTCCTTGGATCTGGCCATTTCCAGAACTTGGTGACTGTTTCAGTTTTCTGGGAACTGTCCATCCATCTGTTTCCCCTTCATTAATGCTCTGCTTTTCAGAGTCATTTTAAGGGTCATTGAGCAAGAAGCTGGGTGCAACCAGGTAAAGTTAGCAATGAGTCATTTTTATATTAGCACCATGTTGGTTTTAAGGCTAAGGAACCCATAATACTTGTCTATAGTATTCACTTAGTATACCAAAGTTTCTCCCAGGTCTCTAATATTTTTTTGCAAGAATAGAAAATTAAATAATAATCCTGTTCCTTAAATGTTATTCAATAGTGTAAATAGCTAAATTTTTGCTCACAAAGTCATAGTTTTTAATATGGTCAAATATACCATGCACAAGCATTTTATTTCAGATCCTCAAAAGGCTCCTTGACAATGTTTTGATAAATGGCACATTTTTACCTGCAGACGTCTAATTATGAAGTCCACAGTTTAAGTCGTAGCTCTGGTGACCTTAACAAGCTGTTCCACCAGGCTGATAGAGATCAAATATTCCCTCAACAATAAGCTTTTGTTTGAAACAACAAAAGGGATTACAAAGCTCCTCCAAAGAGGCAAATCAACAAAGACAGATGCAACAGATATTTGTTCCCAATCATCTGTGCCTAAAATGTGCAGATCCAGAAATAAAATGGGAAGGTGTTTAAACGGAAAAACCTAAAAATGCATCTAAGCCTTGGGACAATGAGCTCAAATCAGCATGCCTGAATAAATGATATTTTTAAAAAATCATAATTTTGTTAGACTGTGTCTAAAATAAAATAAAAGAAGCTTGGTGGCATAAAATATCTCAATAATCTCTTAAATGGTTTATTGTTGTTAAACAAAGATAGAACCAAAAATTATTTTATTCTTGGTTCTGTTGAGAGGCAAATGCTGCACAAATTGAAGCAGATATTTGAAGGGCAAATATATGGATTTTGGGTTTGTGCATAAGTATAAGTTTACATTTTTAGACAGTGATAATTGCTGTAATAAGATCAAGATACCACAAATATCCTTCATTTAGTCTTAACTTTATAGCTGCTGAATGAGGCTGGTTTAGAGGAAACAATGAAGAAAAAACACAGTCAGCTATACATGGTGCTCTTTGGTGTTTTTGAGTCATGCATAGCGGCTCCTTGAGTATTAAGCAGTTTGATGCAATTTTTTAGGTACAACTAAGAATTTAAAAACACCCAACCAACTCCTTTTCTTAAAGGATTATATGTGGCTCCTACAAGAAGTTAGCTGTATTAAAACGGTTCTGGCAATCAGAAATATTAGTTTGATTGTCGTTTAATGAAGCATTTTTATATTAGTCTTTATGTCTCCTTGAAATGGAGCTTCGGCCGAAATTCAACTGAAGAAACTTGTTTCTCTCCTACATCCACCTGCGACACAGCCAATCAGCTTTGAACCTCACCTCCACAAAAGCCAATCGGCATGCAAAGCTCATCTTGAAAGGCCTCTGATCTGCACTTGTCTGCTCCTGTGTGACTTCATTCAGATGACACCGTTTCAACCCACCCCCAGCCCCTCCTCGACCTTCGTAGCTAAAGCTTTATCAGATTGTCATTCCCCCCTGACTCTTACTGCGTTCCCTGTCTCATCTCAACCGGTCCGGTTGAAGACTTCCATGTTGAGCCTGGTTCTGCCAGAGGTTTCTTCCCAACGGGGAGTTTTATTCTCTCCACTGTCACTTCATGCTTGCTCATCATGGACAGGTTCTCTCAACCTGTGTTATCTAAAGTTGACTTCTAACTTCCAGGTCCCTGAGTGAAGCTCTAGTATCAGCTCACGCAATCCACTGGATCTCCCCATAAAGCTCAGCATACCGTCTCGCTAAGCAGCAGTCTACAGACTGACCAACTTCATCTATCTCCACTCCATCACCAGTTTCATGCCTGGGGGGGAAAACAGTCCTATTCTTTGCTTCTGTTCATGCATGTCTATCAAAATTAAGCGCTATGTTTCCTGCCGAGGTCTGGGCGTAAAGACAAACTAATTGTATCAATAATTTCTCCTAATTGTCTTTTCTCTTCGTGTGAGTTTTTCAGATTGAACCACAGTCGGCCTCGGCAGATGACCGCTCACATTGAGCCTGGTTCTGCTTCCAGTTGAAAGGTAGTTTTTCCTCTCCACTGTTGCTACAAGCATGCTTAGTGTGAGGGGTTGCATTCCAGTCAATGAGTTGATGCAATCAACTGGTTTTCCTTAGATAGAAAACGTTCAATCAATTTGACTGTATGATTTGGTTAAATGCAAAGTGCTTTGAGATGACATGTGTTGGGAATTGGCGCTTTATAAATAAACTTAATTGAAATGAATTATGTAGGTTCTTTAAATTTAATTACGTTTTTTCCTTATCTCTGGTTTCTGTAGTTTCAGTCAGCTGACCTCTCATATATACTAGACTACCTCACTACAACAATTCAGCTTCCTCATTTGCTAAGGTAGATTTTAGCGAAACACTATTGGGCAGCTGCAGGCGCATGTTCATCCTATTGGTCCATCTTCCTGTCAATCACGTTGAGGAGGTGGGAACCTGCGCTCTAAACAAGGAAATAGACGTGGGAAATAACAATAGCAGCTCCTAGTAAACTAAAAGCGTAGTTGTGTTTAAAAATGAGTAAAGTTGCGTTGATTCTCGTTGTTTTTAATGTAATGAGTCCTGCTGTTGAAGCGCTGGACAACGGGCTGGCTCTGAAACCCACAATGGGCTGGCTGCACTGGGAGAGGTTCATGTGTAATACCGACTGTGAGGCAGACCCTGACAACTGCATCAGGTATGAAACACCAAACGTTCTCTCTAATTAATAAGTACATCAATGTGCTATTAAATGCCACAAAACAATAAAAAGAAGACTTTTCTTCAACAATGTATCAGTTACTATGAAACAATGAACTGTTTCATGTTATTTTCAGTTCCCTAGAAACTGTGTCTAAGCTCAAAGCTTGGATGTTTGCTCTGGGCAAATGTGTAGCATTGGCTAAGTCCTATTTTCTATATGTTTAGCATTATAGTGCTAATATATGGAGGACCAATCCTGCCATAATTAATAATAAATACAGAAATAAATAAATGCTCCAAAAATAAATAAGCATATATTGCCCCCCAGAAATACAATAAACAAATGAATGTAGGTAGAAATTAAATTATACAGTGAGACATAAATGTATATATCGCTTTTAATTAGGTTCTTTGTTTATTTGTCTTTGTCATAATTACCTTATTTATTTATTGTCCGTTATATTCTTCAACTTTATTTATTTATTACTTTACTATTTATTTATGTGCACGTATAATATTTTTGTCTGGTTTATTCTTACTTTGTATTTTTTTTTACCCTATTTATTTCATATAAAGCATATAAAGCATATATGCTAAAACATATAAAGTTACAGCTGGATCAAGTCTGAGCTCCTGAATGGGATCGACCGTGGGCTGGGCGTCACATAGCTCAACTTCACCTCCATCGAGCTATGTTGTATGTTGTACAAGTTTGGCAGCACTGCTGGGTCAAGATTTGTCTCAACACTGCATGAAAAGTCAGATTTTCGTCCCCGTAAACTCCCGCAGATCTCCCTGATTTTCGTCAGTTTCCGACAATTTGCAGCCCGCGCTTGTCCGTGTTTGTCGTGCCACAAATTGTCGGAAACGGTCTCTGACGTATGTGGAGAGCAATCAGCTGTACTGATGGCCCTAATTAGCATATGAATGCAGCAAACCCGGGCGGCTGGCCAGGTCTGGCTTGAATAACCTTCTCAGTATTGGCTGAAACCACTATTCTCAAACAAGTGAAATCGCTCATGATTGGCAGCAAAACCACACGTGGCCACGCCAGGCTTTAATTTTCTTACTGAGTATTGGACGGAACCACTTCTTTTTAAACAAGTAAAGTCGCTCGTGATTGGTTGGCATATATATATATTTACATATAAATTTACATATATATATATATATATTTATGAATATATATTTATTCATTCATATATTTATTCATTCATATGCTGTGTATTTATGTTATCCTACACTACTACACAATTATTAGGCTACCATCAAGGACATGAATGAATTTATACAGGAAATGAACATTTGCCAGGAAGCTGTTTATACAAAGAAAGAGCTTTATTAAAACACACACAACTATATACAACGCGTATCCAAACACATGCGTATCTAAAAATTACAAGTCCGTGAACGGTCCGTTTGCTTCCTCGGGGTTGGAGGTAACTGGCAGCATTCCCTCCGAGGCAGGTCCGATGTGCAGACGCCTACTGTGCGTGGCCCTGTACTTCGGCATCGCTTCTAACCGGGACCGCAGCTTAACACAGAGTTCAGTGAGATCCAGCCTACGAAATGGCGGCGACCGTACAATCCATCCAGAGACACCGCCAACGACGGCATCTTCTTCGTCGGACATGAGGCCGACGGTGGCGGACTTCCAGAGTTCCACTTCCTCATCTGCTAGCACACTCTGCCTCGCTTTCAGCAGCTGAAAAAAAAACAATGAATCAGCGCACTGCGTATGGACACAACACATCTATTAATGCACCTGAAAAATAGTCACCAAATAAAGTCTTACCCTCTTTCTTCTAGCCCGACTCCGAGCAGATTGCTTGGCAGCCTCCGCACGCAACGTGTTGGCTGGCTGCGTATATCTGAAGCTCCTGCGTACCGTCTCAAAATACGTCTTACAGGCAGCTGGAAAACAATTAAATGAGAGTGGTATGAATAAAAAAATCAAACGCAAGTCACAGTAACAAGGAAGGAGAAAACATTAAAACAAGTCACTTACACACAATGTCGTCTTTATCAACATCGTGCAAATCTGGACTTGCTGATATGGCTCCGAGCAAATAGGAGGTCTGTGAAAACAAAATGTACAGCTATGATCGGTATCTATCCGTATCCATTTCCTTTTACCGCAGAATGAAGGCATATTCTTTAAATCTTACCCTTGCTCCGGTTCATAGCGCCTGCAATTAGTCTCCGAGTTGTGAAGACGGCGTACTGCTTCCTGTGAATCACAAAAAATACACTTTAATAAAGCTTGTTCTTGCAAGGCTACTATTAGCCGTAGCTTTAGGCTAGGCTGTTATTAGCCGTAGCTTTAGGCTAGGCTGCTATTAGCCGTAGCTTTAGGCTAGGCTGCTATTAACCGTAGCTTAGGCTAGGCTGCTTTTAGCTTAGCAGGCAGTAATCGAACATATATTTACCGCTAGCATCTCTTCTTTGAGTTCGTCTTGTTCGATGCAGAGTCGCCATCGCATCCAAGAGGAGTTTTACCCCGAAATCCCACATACTCCGCTCCAGACCGCCTGCACAAAGCAAAGCATACATCCTCCGATGTGGCTCCACACCGCTCCGCTCTGAGTTTCTTGGAGATCGTAGAGAGCATGCGCGAGATGAACCAGGGTTTCCGCGGATCAATAAAAATAATAAAAAATTCATTCATTTTTTTTTTTTCAAATCAAGGCCTTAATTGGCACTAAAATTATTTAAATATGTTTATCGAAGTATTTATAATTCTTTAATAAAAAATGCTTATAAAAACAATTTCGTCAGATATATTATATCGCTCCAGGCGGAGAAAAAGCTAGAGGATATATATATACGTATATATGTGTGTGTGTGTTTACATACATACAGGAGTCATGGAACTCTGCTTACAGCTCCTTCATATTTCATGTACACTAATAACTTGTGTTCATGGTTCTTGTTGATGGCATTAAAATCATTTCTAATAGCATTAAAATAGCATTAAATTAGAGTCACTCATTCCTGTATGAACCCTGTGAGCGCTTAATTTAATATGACATATTAAAAAAATCCCACCATCATCCAGCATATCTTCAGTTTCTGCCCAAATATATATATATATATATATATTTTTGTAGATTTTTGTAACGGGGATAAGGATAATTCAAAACTGCTTTTTTTGAATGAACTTGTTCTCTACTCCCAAACTCAGCATCTCTTTCATTCCTGTAATATAAAGTTTCTTTTGAATGGATTTGATTAAAGTTTAAGTCCCTCGGTATAAAATAAATATTTTGATGGAGATGAGAAATCTGCTTCCTCGTTGGTGAATAACCAATAGTTTGGATCCAATCATTTAAATAAACGGTGTTAGTTTCTTTTTTTTATATATATAAGAATTGTGCTATAATTTCTAGTCACCGATCTGTTGCTGCTATATTTTAATTTGACCAACCGGAATTTGTCGATGTTCTTTTTCCTGTTTGGTGCGATTGCAATTGCGGATCTTGACCTGGCCGGACCTTATGACCACAGTGTACCAATCTTCTGATGGCTACTTCCAACAGGATAATGCGCCATTTTATAAAGTGAATCATCTCAGACTCATTTCTTGAAACTTTTCCACTGAAGTAATTGTGAATTGAGCATATTGACAGACAACATTTTATTTTTTATCTTAAATGCAATTTTTTTTTTTATAATTACTGCTCTAAATGTATTGCTCTGTCAGCTAAAGATCTGTTTTGGTCTCTATACTTTAATTAAATAAATCAATTCAAGCTAAAATGTAAGAGGCTATACTGAGCCTGATCTCTTTGTATCTCTTTGTGAGATTTTCTTACCTTTTAGAAAAATGTCACTTGGAGTAAAACCCCCCCTGCAACCCTGATTTGCATTTGTATAGCTCACAGCATTTTAATTTGCATGTTAAAGCCTCCCCTAGAATTCCATGGGGGGGAGGCATGGGGGGAACACTGCCTAAGAAAGTCCACGTCAATTTCTGACAATTTACGGGAGTTTTCGGCGAAGCCTGCAAATTGCCGTAAAAAGCCGCTAACCTGAAGTTCCACGACAATCTACAGTGCCGCATATTGACGAAAATCCCACTTTTCATGCAGTGCAATGTTTGCTATTAACAGTATTATTCTTGCAAATAGTAGAAGCTTATTGGCTATGGCATTCCATAAGTTAGCCATCGCCATATGGGGAGAGGGAGTGTTTCTAAAACCCAAAAAAAGCAGAAAATAAAGCCAAATTTTAACAGAAAACAAGTGGGTTAAAAATAAAAATGTATAAAAGCAAAAAGAAAAGCTGAAGTTACAATCTATTTTCTAACATTAATTTAAGCTTGGATCAAAGACATTAATTTGCACCTTTGTTTTTTTTAATGGTGGTTCTCCTGCTAAAAACAACAAAAACAAAAAACTTCTGCCCCAGTTTCAAGTCTTTTGCAGCCTCTCCAAGGCATTGCATCATCCATGTGTTTTCTGACGTGAAGAAAAGCATCTCCAGAGCAGGATGTTATCACCATTAGAACTGTAACCACAGATAAAGCCAGTCAGACTTTTCCTGATCAATACAGATCTTTTTTGAGGTTTTAGAAACTGTCCTATTCAGGGATGGTATTTTTCACAAAGACTGTAACATGCAATAGAAAAAAGGATGTGCTGCCGGTTGTTACTCAGTGAGAAGAAGTAAGAATAAAGGCACCTGTACTCCTTTTATTTCTTGTAGATGTTTCATATCCCATCTGAAGCGCCTCTTCGGTTCTGAATAAGGTTGGAAGGAATAGCAATATATGCTGTAATTGGAACAATCAGTCTAATTAAACTTGCTGTGAAACGTACTAAAGAAGACTCAGGCTGTACCCTTCTTCAGCCCATTGTGGCTTTTGAACATGTAATTTTTACCTGATTTTTAAAAACCTATCAACATTATTTGTACAAAAGATTTAAAAATGTTATCTTATTAATATTTATGTAAATAAAAATAAAAAACTTGAAAGTCTGTTTTATTCTGACAAAATGTGAAATGGTTCAAGAAGTATTAATATTTTGTTGACATCTTTCTTTTTTATAGCCAGGGAAAATGTTTGCTTTTGCTGAAAGTAGACTGTGAGGTTTTGCCCTCTTTTCATTACTAATGCATCCCTCATACTCCAACCAGGGCTCTTCTTTTATTCAGGCAACAAAGGCATAAAAGTCAGTGTCCTGGCTGAATCTCTATATCTTCATTTCCTGACTACTTTGGAATGTATTTTTTACAATGCAGTGTTTAGGCACACATGTCTTTTTTTAGCCATGTTTTAAGCTTAGATTTGCCTCTTGGTGCCTGCATGTTAGCTGACTGCCCTACTTGTTTCCTCCTGTTGCCTTGGCAGCGAACGTCTGTACATGCAGATGGCAGACATGATGGTGAAGGAGGGTTGGAAAGAGGCTGGTTATGAGTACGTTTGCATCGATGACTGTTGGCCGTCCCACCAGCGGGATGACCAAGGCCGCCTGCAGGCAGACCCCAAAAGATTCCCCGGAGGGATCAAGAAATTGGCCGATTATGTGAGTAGCAGCAATAAAAAGAAATGTGTTGCTTTATAGTATAAAAAAGGACATTTTCTAGGTATGGAAGGCAGAATGACCACCATGCAACATATATTTGTGTTTTTAAGCATTGTTTATGTGTTATATAAATTGAAAATCTGGAGAAATTGGTAATATGTTAGTATTAAACCAACCTGAGTAGATACCTTGCCACGTTTTTGAGACAACAATATTTTTATCATCCCATATTTGATATTTTTGCCCATTTTTTAGAGTAAAATAATTGAAGCTCAGTCAGACTGGATAGAGACCATCAGGAAATGTTGCTTTTTTTAAATGCCCTGTCTAATCTTAGATTTAGCCTATATATGACATTTTATTCAGCTGTTCTGATATAAATTATAGAGAATAATAAACTTCTCACTGGATTAAAACTTTTTTTATCATCTTTGAATAAAATGACTAACACCTTTCATTTTTTTCATCATTGCCCTAGTAGCACAGTCACTTTCAATGTCTGCTTGAGCTTATGACACTAAAATAACAGAAAAAAAAGTGTGCCTTAAAATATTTTTTCTTTTCAGAAATTTTACACAAAAAACTTACAAAAGATTTTGTTTTAGACACCAATCATAAACATTTTCAAAGTAAATTAAATAGAAAAAAAAAAACGATTGCAAAATATAACAGATTATATTGCTAAATAGAGTTAAGTTCTGCACTCCACCAGTAGGTGGTGTCATGTTTACACAAAGCTTTATGAACTGTGGGGATCGTTAAAGCAATTTGCCCAAACGGTTCAATGCCTTATGAGGCTTCATCTCACATCACTACTTATAAGCATTTAACTCTAACATGTCTGTCTATAATTTGCTTTCTAATCTACAGGGACCACTCTTTTAATTGCTTTCTCTGGTCCATGTTGAGTGCGGTACACACCATGTCACCAAACAGCACAATATAACACACCCATAACTCCTTATGTAGGCCCACTGACTGATATATATATATATATATATATATATATATATATATCTTCAATTATATATATATATATAATCAAAGTCAGACATTTCTTTTCAACTGTGCTAGAAGATAGATAGATAGATAGATAGATAGATAGATAGATAGATAGATAGATAGATAGATAGATAGATAGATAGATAGCACAGTTGAAAAGCAATGTCTGAGTTTGATTTGTTCATTTTCTTAGTATTTATTACTTTAGTCAGACTCAAGTTATTTTTGTGACCATTGTGGGTTGTTTTTTTCATTTATCGAGAGGTACCAACATGTGTCCACTTGTGTAAAATCTATTGAGGTCTGTGGTTGCAAGGTGGAAAAATTCAGGAGGGTATTATTACTTGTGAAAGACACAGGATATTTATCCGTAGGACACTATTGAATGCTAAGTTATCAGTATAGTACTGCATTGTGTCCAAGTCTGCCTGTCTTCTTCAGGCTTACATAAATCAGGAAGCAAAAGCGATTGCAATGTCAGATTAGATATTCAATTGGGTGAACCCTCAGTTATATACATGATGGGAGGAAAAGGTTCAGTGTTCAGATTTGATCAGGGTGGAAATGAAGCATCATATCTATTCTGTGCAGAGTTATGACAGACTGACTCCTGACCCTGGCTTTTAGTGTGAATGCACAGCAGAGCCTTTTTCTGGAGGTCTTAAGCTTTGTATAACATCGCCATCTGCTGGAAGGATTTTAAAGGTCTTACAGAGAAAGCATATAAAGGGCTTTTTTTTTTTGTTTTTCCCTTTAGGTTCATTCTAAAGGCCTGAAGTTGGGCATTTATTCAGATGTTGGAGATAAAACCTGTGCTGGATATCCAGGCAGTCTGGGTTACTACGAGACTGATGCTCAGACATTTGCAGACTGGGGTGTGGACCTGCTTAAGTTCGATGGCTGCAACATGAAGTGGACCTCACTCGGAGAAGGTAGGAATTCATTTTAAGATTGACTTCATTGCTTATGTAAACAATTAACTGCAGATAAAGCGGGTTGCTGTTTTTGTACAATAGTTTTGCAATATTTTATTACTAGAACTTGAAGTGATAAGCTTATGTTACTAAACAGGTTTCATCATCTCAAACAGCACTTTTAGTCTATTATACTGCATTGACTATTAGCTATTAACTATTAGATGTGAATTTTCCCTTTATGGAAGAGGGCAATAAATTGGAAATGATCAAATTAAATCAGTCTTCTTCCAGTTTATAGTTATGCTTTTGGTTCAGGAAATTAAAATCCACACAAAATGCAGCAGAGTATATTCTGTGAAAATGTTCTCTGGGTTTGACCACCTTTGTAGATGCTGGAAACCTGTTAATTGATTCAGCGTCTGTGCTCTAATTGCTGATTTTACTGGTTCAGGTTACATCAACATGTCCAAAGCTCTGAACAAAACTGGAAGAAGTATCCTGTACTCCTGTGAGTGGCCTTTGTACGAGTGGCCTTTTCAAAAGGTGAGGAATGTATTAATCTTATATTTCCTTATGGAGGTGCTTTAAGAATAATCAAAAGATGATTTTTTTCCCCCCGTGCATGCAGCCAAACTACACCGCTATCCGTGAGACTTGCAACCATTGGCGCAATTTCAATGATGTGTTTGACTCGTGGAGCTCGGTCAAGTCCATCATGGAGTGGACTGCTTCCCATCAGGACATAATTGTCCCATCAGCTGGGCCTGGAGGCTGGAATGACCCAGATATGGTACCGTCCTCTACAGATGTTTGAATTTAAATCCAGAGTATTTTTAAATAAGCTTATTTAAAAGATATAATTACCAGAGATAAACTGCATCTTAAATGACCTTTTTAACTTAGTTTAATATACCAGAGACTATAGATTTTGATGTGCATATTTAACTCATTATTTCTCTAGCTCGTAATTGGGAACTTTGGTCTGAGTCACAGCCAGCAGGAGTCTCAAATGGCCCTATGGGCCATCATGGCCGCTCCCCTGTTCATGTCTAATGATCTACGGGACATTTGTCCTCGCTCCAAGAAGCTGCTGCAGAACAGGTGGATCATAGACATAAACCAGGACCCGCTAGGCAAGCAGGGGTACCGAACTGCCAAGGTGGGTGTAAATAATGGGATGCATGAAAACGGCAATGCTTTATTTTGACTACATGTGATTAATTTATTAAATATGTGATGTTCTGAAATCTAATAAATGTGGGTTGTTTTGCAGGGGAACAGTTTTGAAGTTTGGGAGAGACCCCTTTCTAAGAACCGCCTGGCCATTGCAGTGCTGAACCAGCAGGAGATTGGAGGGCCGAGGGGGTTTGCCATCAGAGACGTCCCTGGCTGGAAGTACTGCGACCCTCAGTGCAATGTGACCCTGATCCTGCCCCAGTACAAGGAGATGGGGGTCCAGCCTAAAGGCAGTGAGCTTGTCTTGCCTGTAAACCCTTCAGGAACTGCTCTGCTGACAGTCAGTCTCATCAGCAGAGACTTCAACAAGCTTCACTGGAAGAAGACATCTGTTTAACAAAACCTCATCTGGCTGCAATTCTCATTTTCACCCAATTTTTGCATCTAGTTCTGGATTTTTGGAACATTCCAGGCATTTGAACTCTGATCAACCATATGCCTCACCTTACGTTACTGAAATTAAAACGTTTAAACCAACAGTTTGACATTAATAAACAACAATTTCATGGGTCTTTTCAGACCTGCATTTCAGATTAACAGTTCACACTACATTTTTTTATTGGTATGGGAACAGGATTACTCCGTATCAGATTTAAACTTTTATAGAAACAGCAAAAGCTTTGAAATTGCCCTTTATAAAAGCATGGTTCTGTTTTATAAGTAGAAATCTACTGAAATGAAGGCTAAAATGTTATACTGAAATAAATCCAGGGACTTTTTTTTTTTTTTTTTTTTTTAAATAAAAGGGTCTTTGATACTTAGTTGTGATTTTTTTTTAAATGAGATATCTGAATACAGAAATCTAAACAAATGTTATGAATGCATATAAAAGGAGACTGAAAGGAAAACCACGTTTCAATACATTTATTGAAAATAGTGACAACTTCATCCAAAAGTCTGGACCACAGCTTAGAACTGGATGACCTGGCCCTGTAAGAAAGAGAATATGGGTGAAAATTCTGAAGATCAATAGTTTTATATCTGTGGGCTAAATAGAGAAAATAAAAGATTTTCTTTTACCCATTTCAAGCTATAACTTTGCAGCTAAAACCTCTAAACCGAATAGTCTAGACAACTGAGCCAGTAAGAAGTCAGACTTTGTAAATCATTAAACCCAACATCAAGTTGTTCACAAAACTTCTCAATTTCCTGTATAAACCAATTTACAAACTTCTTAACATTTGAAACTAACGGTCAATCTAAACCATTCATTACTATCAAAATATTTACTGTAACAGACGTCAAATAAAGTTAGGACATTTTAAAAATTAGCCAATAGATACAAAATTGAGATGAATATCAAGGTCCTTGTAATATTTTGTCTCACCAACAGCAGTATGTCAGGTCTTATGTTAAACTTCATAATTGCAACAAATCAGGTAAACGCATCACCTTTTTGCCCCTTCTGTTACCCAGACACCCGATAAGCACATAACATTGCTTTCAGACTAAGATATTTCCTCAACAAATTTAATCTTTAGTATTTGTCCAATACATTCTCATTTTACCGCCAGTCTTTCAGTTACTAAACCATGTTTCTCAAGAAACAGAGGAAGAGTTATTGACGAAGATATAAGCTGCTGCATTCAGTCAAATTCACATCCCGACTCTAAAGTGTTGATGCTGCTTCCTTCCTACCTTTCTCTTCTTGTCACCACCCAACTCGAAGTGCTTGCATCTCTTGATGGCCAGCATTCTCTTGGATCTGCAGTTGGGTTCCACACACTCAAGCCTCAATACAATTTTCTTTGTTGTCTTGGCCTGTAACAGACATTTCCCTTTTGCTTAATATAAAAAAACAAAACCTGTTTTTCCTTGAATAAAACTTGGAATCTACACAGAAAAGTAGCCGTTACCTTTTTACGGAAAATTGGCTTTGTTTGACCACCATATCCGCTCTGCTTTCTGTCGTATCTCCTCTTACCTGCAGAGACATTTTAGTTCAGTAACAAAACAACCGTTTCAAATTTTGCCACATTTTGTCTGTCTACAAAGTTCTGTGATGTGTGGCAAATTTGCAAACCCCCCAATTTAAAAGCAATTACAGTTTCAAGTCTTCTGGGGCATCTCTCTCCCAACATCTTCGCAGCTCAAGCTCAGGTTGGAGAGAATGTTAAGATTTACCTTCAAAGTATTTTTAAACTGGTGAACATGCCTTCATGCCTCCTGTTGCGCATGACAGTGTTCTCGATTTTCATTCCAGTGTCTGCTTTTATTCAGTGGCATCTCCGTTTCAACGCACTCCAGTAAAATAATCAGGTCACAGATAGAACAAGACTGCATATTGATGAGCTAAGCCATTTAACTCAGGTGTGTGGAAGCCGAGACATGCTAACTGTTGCAGGACACCTGGGCCATTTCTCAATTTGTGTACCTGTGCATTCTCGTGTGCTCGTGAATCATCGACATCAGCCCTAGTACTGTTCCAATTCACAAGAACAGCAAACTGATAACAGACAAAGTCCCTGGATGCTTTTCTCAACCCTCCCCATTTACTGAGTATGCATCAGAGCAGACTTGCCCGTTCTCGAGATTGACAGCTGTCCCAGTATGCACTGTGGCAGCAGCAGCTTTCAATGGAGCGCTACATTGAAAGTTAGAAGTTAAAACTAATCTAAATGCAGCTCTAGACGAGCCAGGCACATGGTGACGTTGCGAGTACGCTTCTGTTCCAATTGACCCATATTTATGCTGCCGTTCTCACCAAGTCCAGACCTCCCTGTGTTCTTCTCAAAAACATGCTTGGCAAGAACATGAGTCCGTACTCGCGTTCTAGTGACTTGAGGAACAGGCCTGATTTTGAGTGCTGGGTTGGGATGACCTCTGCCCAATGGGGGAGGTAAACCACCATCACACCAGCTTTTATGTCAGTAATTTCCAGCAACTCTCAGCTGAGCTGGGTACCTGTACTGCTCTCCCCGTTTGTTCTCAGTATATTGAGATTAGAGCAATCTGGCAAGAAAGTAACATTTCAAAGCAATTTTATTTTTTGCCTGTACTGTATTTGCAGGCACCATAGTGAAAAATAGAATTCCACTGTACGTTTTTAAAACTGACTATTAAGACTACAACCTTTTGTTATTATGTACTAATTGCTGATGAATAATATACAACTCAAGCACATTACGGTTATGTAGGAATAGGTTGGTGAGATTTTCAACATGTTGCATCGTGTGCACCCAATTGTGAGAGGAAAAATTAGTCACCCTGTGCATAGAGGGAATCCTTTCCCTTCTTGTACTGGGTCACTTTGTGGGGCTGGTGCTTCTTGCACTTTTTGCAGTAAGTCCTGCGGGTCTTCGGGACGTTCACCTGAACAACAAGAACAATGAGACACTCCAACTTAGAGAAACTAACACTAAACAATTTAGAAAAAAAAATGTAAAGCAAGAATTAAGAGATAACAGGTAAACTTGGCATTTCTGTTGCGAATACAGCTCTGGACATGTTATTCAAACGCCTGTGCTAATCATGCTAGCAGTTAGCACAGGTTAGCATGTAGCTTCAGCAGTATGAACATGTGCGGCTCTGTTGTATAATAACAGAGTACATTCCAAACTTAATATTCAAGATATTCCTAAGTTAATACTAAATAATTTGATTTGCCAGACAGAGAGTAGCAACCTAGCAGCTTCTCGCCGCTAGCATAGCATAAGTATTAGCATTAGTATTTATATCAGTCTGACAACGAACAACAGCATCACAGCAGCTAATATAGTAAACGTAAGGTATATCGAACATCCGTAATAACATTTGAGCTGAAATAAATACGAAAGGATGCTTTAAAGAGTAGGATTGCTGTTGATTTTACTAAATGCCTCGGCATAGTTGATTCTTACCATGGCTGCGGCCCCGATGAGGAGGAAAAAGAGGAAGGATGAAGCCGGAAGCGGTTGTTTAAGTGGATCTCAGCGATGGGCAGTCTCCCCTAGTGGTGGAGATGTGTAAGATCAACAAAAATAGATACTTGAAAAATGTATCTGTTGTAATTTAACATCAGATTCCAGTTTGATGGGTGGTTAATTTTTACCCCTCCCTGATAAAAGTTTGATTTGACTTAAATTTGCTTTTGTAAAGTTTGGGTTTGTAGTTTTCAAGAGTTCAGAGTCAGGCTTGACTCAAAGTACCGGTAATCATAATTTTTTCATCTTGTTGTGTTTTTTTCTTTTAGCTAATTTTTCATTTTTAAGTTTTAGATTTCTCTGAAACTATAAACCAGACCTGATATTACATCTGCAAATATTCACATAGTTGAAATATCATTTATTAAAGCAATTGTACAAAAACTTGAATAACTTGATTATAGTATTTTACCAAAAGCTGCAGAAGTGAGCTTATTTTGGTGAACAGAGCTGCTTGATGTCCACCAAGCCACGGCCAGCTACAACTGTACGATAAAAAAAAAAAACAAGAACCCTGTACTGTTCATTCGTTTACTTGTATAATGGATGAAGAAGCCTTTTGATGCATATGAAGAAATACTGACAGATTTTCTGGTATTCTGCGGCAGTAATACCAACCTGAACTGACTGGTAAGATCTGTGAAAGTTAAAATTCTTGCAGAATCTGATTCCGATAGTAAGGTCAGTTAAAATTCAGTTCTCCTGTAATGATCAGTTCCCCTGTTTGCACAACACTGCCATTACAGAGACCGGAGTGGCAGATTCAGATTCTGCTCACCCCTCTGGTACATATCTATAATTAGCCTCACAGGACCAGCTACAGCCACACACAAACACAAATTACTCTTTTTATTTCTTCATAACTTCTCTCTACAAAGCAAACATGCAGGCAAACCTTCCTCATTGATGATAAAAGCAAATGATTGGGCCCATCCTTCTTTGAACCCTCTGTTCTCTTCAGCTATCTTCCTTTTTCCCCCTTTGTTATCCATGGCCTAAGACACTCCTGCAGCTTTGTTTATAACTGCCACCTGCCTGGCACCACACAGCGCTGAAAAGTGTGTTGTATGCTATGATGCAAATTTTTGTTTATAGAAATGTGGAAAAAAAAAAATAATTAATTGATCTATTATACAAATTTTTATAGCATTGGAAACATAATGAATGTTTGTTCGACCTCCTGCACACCATAATAAAACAAACAAACTACAAAAAATTTTAAAATCTCTCTTATTCCACTGTTGAAAAAAGCTTAAGGAAGCCACAAAGGGGGCATTAAAGAGCTGCATGCAGCTCTGAGGCTGCAGGTTGCCAACCCCTGCCCTAAGTCTACAACTCTGAGGCTATACAGTGAGAGGAAGGACATGGGTTGAGGACTAGTGAGTGTTTTAGCCACTTTCCTGGATGAAACGGCGCAGATCAGCGAACAGATCAAAAAGATTGCCACCACTGATCGAATGCTTGGCAAAAGCATGGTTAAAACAGGAGCCATTGTGATAGGACAGGCCCCTGCATGGCATGTATAACTAAACAATAGAAGAAGTGGCTAATATATGCTGGACAAAGCTGTAGAAAAATACAGCACTGAGGCTCTAATCATGGCAGCACAGGAACAATCTCTGAGTACAAAGGTTGGTGTCTACCGGACCAGACAATACCTAAAGTACAGCTGTGCAGAGATGCTCCTGAGGCGACTATGTTGGAGTTTTCACCTTTATTCCAACACCCTGTGGAGAAAATAACACCACTGATGATTGATAGAATATCTGGAGGATCCTGCTGCAAATATTAAAGGACACAATCTTGAGGAGGGCATAGTCTAATCATGTACTTTCTATAAAGTAACTAAATTTTCATGGTCTACTGCAGCCTACAATAGAGGGAAACACCAAGCTACGTCTGTGATGTAACTTTCTCTATAACTGCTCTGAGATGGATATCAGATATCAGCAGGAGAATCTCTTCATGCAGCTGAAGTTAGCTACCATTTATTACTTTGAGGCTGTTATGACAAATGCTTTATTTAGTTCTAAGTTATCTTTTAATAATAAATAAATACTCATTAAGCCAAAGCAAGTTTGTTTTGGTGCACTCTATAAAGCCTCGAACTCAATGCTAATTCTGACATATTGAATTGTTAAAACTTCCTGGGTGTTTTTTTTTTTTTTTTTTTTTCGAATACTCATGAAGTGTTTGCAATGACTTTGGTCTTTACTGGTTTAGAAGTTGTGTTTGAATATGACTTTGATAATTACAATGACTGAGTTGGACTTTTAAAAAAATAGTATATTTGGTTTTCCCCTTTTGTTTTTGTTTTTTGTTTTTGAAGTCCAAAAAAAAACTTTTTTTTCTCATGTAATTTTTTTTTTCTAAGTAAACTCTTCAACAATCTGAACTAGTTAATGTGTCAACTAATACTCTTTAAAAGACCATCAGTCAGGCTGGTTGGAACTACTTTTTCCGTGGATATTCACTCGACAGTGAAGCTAGGACAGGGGGTGGTGAAAACTCCCTGTTCGCCCTTCTTAATTTCTATTTTTTTCTTAAAACCTCTGCAAAAGATATGCCAAGCATTTACAGCACCAAACTATATGTCTAGAAAAATGCATTTAAATACCATATAGAGTGATTAGTACACTGATTATTGACCAATTTAAATCTGATTGGATTAAAATGCTTTATATTAGAAATATATCAGAAATTTAAAATACATTAATAGAATTCAAAGTAAAGTCATCCCCTGTTTATGAGTCTGTATTATTTTTCTTAGAGCAATACTCTAAAACATTTGTTAATCATATCTACGCCTATCAATATCTTACAAAGATATACGGTCAGAGAAGATGACTGCTGAAGATAGGCAGCAGCCTCCCAGCGAACCTGACAGACGGACGGATATGCAGTTAAGAAATGCACGTAGGCAAACTCTTTTAGTTCCTTTGGCATGAGTAAAAAGCAAATATGATCTTTCATGCAACCAAGTAGAAAATTAAGAAACCTTCTTTTTAGCAAACTGAGCACTAACTGAAAGGCAGAGCAGGCTCTTTACAAACAGACACATTTATTCTCTTTCATTCTAATTATAATGACTTTAAACATAGAAAATGTTTGACAGAAACTCTTTAATGTTTGAAAAACCTCTCCTGGCTAAAACATTTGGTATACTTGGACTATTATACTAATAACTGACTGCTATAAATAACTTTTCCTTTAATTTACCTATAATCAAATATCTGTTGCTCTGTCTTCTCAGTTTCATGCAAGTAAACAATGTAAAAGCTTCCGTCTTCACACTCTGAAACCTGTAAAAGTGACCATTATTAACTTTTTATCTCTTCTCCTCTCTTGCTCTCACAGCTATCAAACTGGCAGTCGCCCAAACAAGAAAAGATCTCAACCAAAAATGCAACTAACAGTGCCCTCAGAGTAATGTTTAACGCGCCTCAAACTTATCACCAAAACTGTCCAGAAGGCTGATATGAAAATGAGCAGGAAGAAAAAGAGGAAGTAAGCCTAGCTGATTCCTCTCTGTGGGTGTGTTTTAACTTCTTGCATCACAGACTATCAGACATTATATGGAAAGTAAGAAGAAGGTTCATGTTAAAGCGTTTAGATCCTCTCTATCTGCGCTGCGTTTGTCCGGTGCTTCACTGTTTTCAGGTGAAGGGGTAAGTCACCACGCTGTTTCAAATGCTGCTCTTGTGTATCGGGGTATTTTTAGTCATTCTGCGTGAAAATTACTCAAAAAGTCTAAAGACACAGCTGTTTTGCTTCAGTGTGAAACTTGGTCGTTTTTATGCAAATCCTAAACAACAAAATCTTTCAAATTCTTAAATCGTTTGCAGTAAAACCCCTGAGATGCGTTCTTCATTGGTTATTTGGGTAACTTAGTGTCAGAGTGACACTTTGTGCTTGTTCATTAAAGTAGGCCTGATGATAACAAAGCGGTATGACTGATCAGATAGTAGTGTCTTGTGGTTAGTGACTTATGATGAGATCTGCCAATTGAAAAATGATATTGCAGAATGCTTCTCTATTAAAGCTCCCTGGGATATTTTCTGCCTGTAAGGAAACACCAGAGAAGAAAACTTCTTGGTACATTCCTGTTTGACAGTCTTACCCTGTTTGATTACATTTTTTGTTGTCATTTTAACTGATTCCTTATTAGTATATGAGGAAACCTGGTCACCCATGTTAGAAATATATGTTAAAATGTTAAAAATGTCAATTGAGGGGGGTTTTACTAGGACTAATGTGAACATTTATTTCTAAATATTTGGGATGACAAAATTCCAGGGGTTTAGATCAGGTATTTCAACTGTGCACTATAGCAATTGTCAGGTAGAAGTGCTGCAGGGTAACTGGTTTTTCTTTATATTTCGGTGTAACACTGATGCAACTTCCCCCTTTAGTTTGACTGTGTCAGACATTGTGAGCCAACTCTCCTCAGAAAACAACAAAAAAAGTCCCTTTTATGGTTGCCATGGCATGCATTAAATTCTATCCATTTTAAAGGTTTATTGCTCCAGTATGTTATAGGGAAAATTAACTTGAATCTATATTTATGAGCTGCCTGGTAAGTGATGTGAAAAAAACAATGGTGGTGGGAAATGAGGAATGGGTAAGCAATGTTTCTGAGAATGGGGAACATCGCTCTCCGACTGTCACAGCTCAAACAAGGCTAATGAGTAGCGCTGCTGCTGGGTTGTTAAGAAATGCTATTGTGCTGGTTATAGCAGGGAGTGACTGAAGCTTCTGGTGGAGTTACTGTTCCAGTTCAGATGACAAAAGGAAGTGCTTGCAGGCCCAAAATAGGCTAAAACTGAAGTGCAAACACATTTGACAGAGACTTACTCACTGTGAGCTTTGAGCTGTGTGTGATAAAAACTTAATTCTAACACTTCTAAACCAGCTGCAACCTTGAAACTCAAACAGCGTTGGAATGCGATGGCGTCCCTCGATAGGTTTTCATCCAAAGCTGTCTTTAAAACACTGATCAGCCGCTTAGCAGAACATTCATTTCATTTGCATACATTACTGGCTCACATTTGAATGTTTCTGCAGTTATATGACAAGAAGCCCCAATTTAGTATGCAAGAAACAATGTTTTATATTGTTTACGCATAATATGAAAATGACAGTCCACATGACAACTTTGCATTTGATCTAACACATCAACCCTTCTAGTTCTGGAGGAGAAAGCTTTAGTTTTTTGTGTTGCAAGATGATAAAAGACAAGACAATACAGCAGCCATAAACAAGAATTATAGCTTACTTCATTTACCTGCTTATCTTTGATCTGTTTGCTATTCATTACAGGTAATATGTAGAAAAGAAAGAATGCATTGTAATATTTTATACAAGGTACACAAAAGAATGGGAATAAGAAACATTAAAAATGCAAAATAGAGTTTGAAAATCAAATAAGTATATATAGAAAGAATCCACAACAATGGGGAAAAAAATTACCACTATTATTTCTAATTCCCTAGAAAGGCAGCTGATTCTACAACCGTCATATCTTATGACAGTTGAGGCTTATTCTTTATTGTCTAATACTTTTATCTCATTTAGAGCCCGATCTCAATAACACCCATTTTTAACTATAAATAATAATATGAAGCATAAAACCTTCCAAATTCAAACTCAGGTGTACATGGTATAACAGGACCAGCCTAAGTTGTTATAAAATTCACTATAATACGTTAAAATTTGTGCCTCATGGTGGCGCAGGACCAGTGTTGCCTTGGAATAAGAATGTTCTGCGTTTGATTTCCAGCCTATAATCTGTGTGCATAAAGTTGCATTTATATATGCCTATAATCTAGCCTATAGTCTGCCTATAATTAACCATAGTCCATCCTATAATCTGTGTGCATAAAGTTGCATTTATATATGCCTATAATCTAGCCTATAGTCCGCCTATAATTAACCATAGTCCATCCTATAATCTGTGTGCATAAAGTTGCATTTATATATGCCTATAATCTAGCCTATAGTCCGCCTATAATTAACCATAGTCCATCCTATAATCTGTGTGCATAAAGTTGCATTTATATATGCCTATATTCTAGCCTAAAGTCTGCCGATAATGAACCATAGTCCAGTCTATAATCTGTGTGCATAAAGTTTGCATGTTCTTCCTATGCATGCAAAGGTTCTCTCAGGGTCTCCAGCTTCCTCCTACAGTCCAAAACATGACTGTTAGATTGATTGGCATCTCTTAATTACCCCCTTAGATGCGAATGTGTGTGCATAGTTTTATGATGTGTTTCCCTGGTTTGGACTGGCGGCCTGTCCAGGCTGCACCCCGCCTATAACCCATACGCTACTGGAGATAGGAACCAGTTTGAAGAAGACAAGTGTCTATTATGTTTTTTTTAAACTTTGAATTCCAATGAACTTTTTTTGTTACTTGATTCTTATGATGAATTCGGTTAGTAAGTTAAACTAAATACTGTAAGGGCCGGATTTATCAAGATCCAATTTTGCGTGCAGTAATTTGCGCTCGCAAACTGGAATTTTGCGCGAGGGGTTGAACCATGGTTTGCTGGTGATTTAACAAGAGTGATTGCGTAACTGGTGGAAGGTGCAAAACTGTTGGAGACGCCCTATTTAAATGATGGTTTTGCGCGTTTTGTGGTTTGTGGCAAAGTAGTTTGTAGTCTGTACAAACTACTAGTGCATTAAGAAATCTAAATCTTACAGTGACCCCCAACAAAAAAAATAAAAAATTAAAAAATAAAATATATATATATATATATATATATATATATATATATATATATATATATATATATATATATATATATATATATATATATATATAAATTGGCAACCTAATATTCCCTAAGGTGGTATGTGCTGCAGTAAAAAAAAAAAAAAAACAGGTGTTTTGTATTGGCCTGTGACTGTGGATGAGATCCCCGCAGCATTTGGCACGTTGCTCCACAGGCTCAGGGGGAGAACCCCGACCCCGTCGGACAGCACTTCTGAAAAAAGGAGATTGGGAGATCCCAGCTCTCGCTGCAACCGTACGCTGGAATGACCCAAATGCAAAAAAAGTGCAATGTTGCAAGGAATTTTGTGATATCTGGTATTGCGTGGGTCCTCCTTGTGGCTGGCTCCAAATCCATTCGGAGTTCCCCCAACAGCTCCAAAATGGCAATGCTGGATAAACAATATGTTTTGATGATCGTTTCCTCGTTCATTCCAAAAATATTTACACGGAGTGAAAAAATGCGTTCTCTGCATCTCCTTGCTTCATTTCGATGTCTCCTTCTTGCGACAATAACCGCTGCCATGTGTGCGCAATTACGCATACAGACCATTTGCACCTTCTTTTGAAACGTGTTAAATATAGAGTCAGATAGCGTTAGCAAAATTGCTTTCAGGTTTGATAAATCTCTTTGCGAGTGCTAAATTAATATATCTACATGTTCTCCTCCCACAAGACGCACTTTTGCGTGTAAACGCCCCATATTGCATATTCATTGCAGAAAAAGTTCTAAATGGATAAGAGGCGCTATTTAGCACATTTTAAAGACCAAATCCTTTTAGCACGCTGTTGATAGATCAGTTTGTACATTTTTTAGCGTGCCCAGTGAAATAGCTCACGTTTTTATACACGCAAACCTTTGATAGATCCGGCCCTAAGTATAAACAAACAAAAAAAAAACTCTCCTGTGCCATATTTGTATGTTAACTATGCAAAGGGGAGTTTATGACCTGCTAGGTGTGCAAGGAGCCAAGAAAATGAGAAAATTATTTTTAAATAAATTAGGTTTTTTCAAGATATGAATTTTCTTTTGGTCATTCAATATTTGCTTATCTAATTTCAACACCTAAAGGAAGAAAATGAATTGCATTTTATTTGACAATATTGCATCGTAAAAGGATGACAAAAGCAATATTTTTTTGGTTTGGCCAATACAAGGCCTTACAATGCATTTGTAACCTCAACGTAGGTTACAAATGCTAAATTCCCAACAAAAAGTAAAGTTGTACGTCTTTGCCACGTAGATGATGACCACAGTGTAACAGCTGAGGAAAACAGATATGTCAAAGAGGGAAATGCTGAAAGCAAAGGGAGCTGCTTGCACGAAAAGCGGAGTTCATGCAAACTCATAGTTAATCAGCACGCTCGCTATGCCTCTCTTCCTTTCTGTGCAGATCTATACTCTCACCTGTCAAAGCAGCAGTGCCCTGAACCCATGAAAAGAGGGTGAGTATGCATCAAACCTACAGGAGTTACAGACGAAACTATAAGTGCTGAATTTAGAAATATGAGACCCAGAGATGCTGGGTGCAGCTGCTATAACACAATGCAGTCAATGTGTGAAACGATTGTCTCACTATGATCTGCAACAAAGTGACTTTAATGCAACACTTGCTTTTTTTGTAGATCAATACAGATTGAATCATGTCAGACAACATACTGGAGGAAATCTTCATCAAACGGTCTCAGCAGAAGAAGAAGACCTCTCCTCTGAACTACAAGGAGAGGTGGTTCATTCTTACCCAGGAAAAAATAGCCTACTATGATTTTGATTCTGAGAAAGGGGTACGTACCTGAAAACCAGCTGAGTCACATTTATCTCACATTATTTCTGTTGGCAACTTTAAACGAGTGCCGCTGTTTTGTTTTTCTAATTTTTTTTTTTTTTTTGTTTCTCTTCATATGTTGAGCAGAAGCGAAAAGGTTTAAAAGGGACCGTTGACATTGAGAAGATAAAGTGTGTGGAGACAGTCGAGCCTGAGGCTAACACCCCACAAGAGCGCATGTATGCTTTCCAGGTAGATATTTTCCTCATCGTACTCTTCTGACAAAGAACAAAAAACACATTTTCTTCAGATAAACCAAATCATCAAGTCCCCTTGATTTAGTTTTCGACTTCTATAAACTAAAACTTAATTAACTCAGAAAAAAATATAACGTTCCATAATGTTTATTTCTATTTGTTTTAGTTTGGTTACTATCAAATTTAAAACGACCGTCCTCAAGATTCAGTATGATGAGGTTTTTATTTTGCCTTCTTGTCAAACTAAAAGTGTAAGTGTCTGATGTTGTGAAAGTCAGTTCTCAAGAAGTGAAACTGTTGCTGATAAGGGACTTTCAGAGGCAGTCCAGGTGCTTCTGTTATATGATGAAGGCACCATAAACCATCAGGAAATTCAAAAAGTTTAGGGATTTTTTTTTTTTTTTTTTTGCACATATTTTCTAAATTTAAGCAAAGATGAGCTTTAGAATCCCAATACACATCTAAGGGTTTCTCAAGGCATGATACTGGGTGCTCCATTATTTTGATTTTCTACACTTTCCTAGTAGTTAGTATTCAGATTAAACTGATACCTCTAATATTATTTAAATTACCTGGTTGTCTAAACTAGATAAAAGACTTATAATCATCTTTGAAAAAATACAGTAAACTACAAACTCTACCATTACTACTCTAGTCTGCCTAGAATATACCTCCAACCCAGCTATGCAACTAGCTCCCGTTGTACTTCTACAAAAAAAACTGACTCACTCTGAACACACATTGAAAATCTATCTTACGATCTTGCTTCTCTCAGTTGCGAAGCTTAGACCTGTTGTATCATCCCCTGAATTTAACTTAAATGTTTATCCATCTGCTTATAACATTAGTTTATTTCCTGCCTTCCTGTAATAAGCAATGCTTTTCATAAATGCTTACAGGTCACATATTTTGTGATATGCTATTCAGGCTAAAGCATGATTTCTATCTTACATGATAGAGCTGGTTTTACCTGCTTACTGTTGAATTCAAAATTCAAATTAAAACATTATCTGGGATATAAAAAGCAGTGAATGGAGCCTTCAGTCTCCTATTAATCCAGCATAAGTAGGATTAAGCCTTTCACCTTGTGGTTCCCAGGCTGTGGTACAACTTTATACTGTCTATACTGTACAGTTCTGTGAGATTACGTGTGAAACAAATACTCATGAGCTCATTTAATAAGTGAATTATATAGCTTTCAAATGTTAAAACATCTGTGAAAATGGTAGTCTCTCTCTCTCTATCTATCTATTTCTCTCTATCTATATACACTATATTGCCAAAAGTATTTGCTCACCCATCCAAATTATTGGAATCAGGTGTTCCAATCACTTCCATGGCCACAGGTGTATAAATTCAAGCACCTAGGCATGCAGACTGTTTTTACAAACATTTGTGAAAGAATGGGTCGCTCTCAGGAGCTCAGTGAATTCCAGCGTGGAACTGTGATAGGATGCCACCTGTGCAACAAATCCAGTCGTGAAATTTCCTCGCTCCTAAATATTCCACAGTCAACTGTCAGCTGTATTATAAGAAAATGGAAGTGTTTGGGAACGACAGCAACTCAGCCACGAAGTGGTAGGCCACGTAAACTGACGGAGCGGGGTCAGCGGATGCTGAAGCGCATAGTGCGAAGAGGTCGCCAACTTTCTGCAGAGTCAATCACTACAGACCTCCAAACTTCATGTGGCCTTCAGATTAGCTCAAGAACAGTGCGCAGAGAGCTTCATGGAATGGGTTTCCATGGTCGAGCAGCTGCATCCAAGCCATACATCACCAAGTGCAATGCAAAGCGTCGGATGCGGTGGTGTAAAGCACGCCGCCACTGGACTCTAGAGCAGTGGAGACGCGTTCTCTGGAGTGACGAATCGCGCTTCTCCATCTGGCAATCTGATGGACGGGTCTGGGTTTGGCGGTTGCCAGGAGAACGGTACTTGTCTGACTGCATTGTGCCAAGTGTAAAGTTTGGTGGAGGGGGGATTATGGTGTGGGGTTGTTTTTCAGGAGCTGGGCTTGGCCCCTTAGTTCCAGTGAAAGGAACTCTGAATGCTTCAGCATACCAAGACATTTTGGACAATTCCATGCTCCCAACTTTGTGGGAACAGTTTGGAGCTGGCCCCTTCCTCTTCCAACATGACTGTGCACCAGTGCACAAAGCAAGGTCCATAAAGACATGGATGACAGAGTCTGGTGTGGATGAACTTGACTGGCCTGCACAGAGTCCTGACCTCAACCCGATAGAACACCTTTGGGATGAATTAGAGCGGAGACTGAGAGCCAGGCCTTCTCGTCCAACATCAGTGTGCGACCTCACAAATGCGCTTCTGGAAGAATGGTCAAAAATTCCCATAAACACACTCCTAAACCTTGTGGACAGCCTTCCCAGAAGAGTTGAAGCTGTTCTAGCTGCAAAGGGTGGACCGACGTCATATTGAACCCTATGGATTAGGAACGGGATGTCACTTAAGCTCATATGTGAGTCAAGGCAGGTGAGCAAATACTTTTGGCAATATAGTGTATATATATATATATATATATATATATATATATATATACATATATATATATAAGATTCACACTGAAGGTATCAAAAGTATGAATTAACACACGTGAAATGATACACTTAACAAGAACTGAAAATATGTCTTATATTTTAGGTTCTTCAAAGTAAGCACCTTTGGCTTTGATTACTCCTCCGCACACTCTTAGCATTCTCTTGATGAGCTTCAAGAGGTCTTGTTCCCAGAGATGCTTAGTATTTGTTGCCCCTATTGCCTTCACTCTGTGGTCCAGCTCACCCCAAACCATCTTGATTGGGTTCTGGTCCGGTGATTGTGGAGGCCAGGTCATCTGGCGCAGCACCCTATCACTCCCCTTCTTGGTCAAATAGCCTTTACACAGCTTGGAGGTGTGTTTGGGGTCATTTTCCTGTTGAAAAATGAATGATCGTCCAACTAAATGCAGCATGCCGCTGCAAGATGCTGTGGTTACCATGCTGGTTCAGTATGCCTTCAATATTGAATAAATCCCCAAACGTGTCACCAGCAAAGCACCCCCACACCATCACACCTCCTCCCTCATGCTTCACGGTGGGAACCAGACATGTAGAGACATTTCCTGCGTCGCTGACGACACGATATTTGGAACCAAAGATCTCAAATTTTGACTCATCAGACCAAAGCACAGATTTCCACTGGTCTAATGTCCATTCTTTGTGTTCTTTAGCCCAAGCAAGTCTCTTCTGCTTGTTGCCTGTCCTTAGAAGTGGGTTCCTAGCAGCTATTTTACCATAAAGGCCTGATTCACACAGTCTCCTCTTAACAGTTGTTCTAGAGATGTGTCTGCTGCTAGAACTCTGTGTAGCATTGACCTGGTCTCTAATCTGAGCTGCTGTTAACCTGCGATTTCTGAGGCTGGTGACTCGGATTAACTTATCCTCTGCAGCAGAGGTGACTCTTGGTCTTCCTTTCATGGGGCGGTCCTCATGTCGGCCAGTTTCTTTGTGGCACTTAATGGTTTTTGCAACTGCACTTCGGGACACTTTCAAATTTTTGCCGTTTTTCACACTGACTGACCTTCATTTCTTAAAGTAATGATGGCCACTCATTTTTCTTTACTTAGCTGCATTTTTCTTGCCATAATACAAATTCTAACAGTCTATTCAGTAGGACTATCAGCTGTGTATCCACCTGACTTCTGCACAACACAACTGATGGTCCCAACCCCATATTAATAAGGCAAGAAATCCCACTTGTTAAACCTGACAGGGGACACCTGTGAAGTGAAAACCATTACTGGTGACTACCTCTTGAAGCTCATTAAGAGAATGCCAAGAGAGTGCGAAGCACTAATCAAAGCTAAAGATGGCTACTTTGAAGAAACTAGAATATAAGACATATTTTCAGTTGTTTCACACTTTTCTGTTAAGTATATAACTCAATGTGTGTTAATTCATAGTTTTGATGCCTTCAGTGTTAATCTGCAATTTTCATAGTCATGAAAATAAAGAAAACCTTTAATTATAAAGAAAACTCTCCTACTTTTCACCTTCTGTTAAAGTTGGTTGAACATGAGCCAAGTAGCTCATATATTTCCACCTTTGTACATCTTTTTTGGATGTTGTCAGGTGTTGCAATTTTCATGCGTATGGTAATGCAGTAGCCGTCCATTTTATATTTGAACTTTATGTACTGTTCACTGTACATTCTGCGGTGAACAGAAATGATGATATACACAAGCTGCCTTACAATGGAGATCAGCACATTTGCTGTAATGATGATACCAGTGGAAAATACTCTTATATCTCTTATTTTTAACATCATTTATGATCATTGTGGAACTATTCTTGATATATTTGTGTGCTTTAAGGCCGAAGCTGCAGCTGCATTAACAGGTTAAGTCAAAGAAAAATTACCCAAACTATTTTAAGTGGTTGTGAAAACAGTTGCTCTCATTTGTAGGTTATGATATAATTCAAATGAATCATATTTTTGGAAAGCTGAATCTAAATGATAAAACACACTCCAACATGATTACTGTTAACTAACATAGAACCTCCTTTACAACATGAAGAAGGGAAGATAGATTTCAAGAAGCAACAAATCCAGATCCAGTGAGGAAAAGAATTATGAGAACATGAAATGTTTTAGTTTGGGAAGGGGAATTATAAAACTACTTTTTTATACTTGGATCTTATAGATATTGAGATACTTAAGATATAAACTGAACCAAGCATATATGTTCTGGTTCCCCTTTAAAAATTCTCAACTTCCTCAGGCCGCCATTTAAGTCAACCCTAAGTTCAGCTCGTAGAAGCTGTGTTTGAGAACTGTGGTCTAAATAAATTCTGGGTTTTGCCACAGATCATTTACGATGAAGGACCTTTGTACATATTCGCAAAAACAGAAGACATTCGGAGGCTATGGATAAAAAAACTAAAAGAATGTGAGTAAAACGGGTCTATATATGTGTCTTGTGTTAATCTGATAGCCTTTGGTTTCCATATCTCAACATTTATCAGATAGTGTGACAGCGGAGTTGGATGCCTACGCAAATGCTGATTTTATGTAAATGTCCTACGCATGAATCCATGTACGCTAATGTGACTGTTTGTTGTGCATAGTGGTCCGCTTTAACAAAGATCTGATGCAGAAGTACCATCCCTGTTTCTGGGTGGATGGCCTGTGGCTTTGCTGTAAGCAGGAAGTCAAACAAGCCATGGGTTGCAAAGTTCTAGAAGATTCTACAAAAAATGGTGAGAATAAGACTTTTGACGGGACTGAATTCAAATCAAAAAGGGAACTTTTAAAGTTTCAAATAAATCATGTTTTAATTGAATAAACAACAGGTTTTAAATCATCATCGGGTCGACGGCAATCCAGGAAACCACTTCCACCAACCCCAGTAGAGGTACACCCAGTTTGTTTAGATTCACACTCACTGGATACAGGTCTGTTTGTTCTGAATCTATACAACAATCTCACATTACTTTAGGAGAAGACTTTGCGCTCATTGCCCCCGGAACCCGTTGAAACACAGACGCATTCTGGAAGCATGACTTTTGTAGCTGAATACGATTACACACCAATGAATGCCCAGGACCTGGAGCTGAGGAAGGATGAGGAGTACACCATCCTGGAGAGGTCTGACCCGAACTGGTGGAAAGCAACAGACAAATACGGGTGAGATGGCTAACACAGCAAAGCGAAACAGGGATTTGCAATCATGCATTTAAACAGAAAATACATGCATTTTTATTTAAAATCCTTTGAAGCTACTTTGTTCTTCTTTTGGCTATAAAAATAAGAAAAAGTGGGAACCCTTACAAAATGACCTGTGAAGAAAAAGGAACAAACTTAAATACTTTTAAAAAAGTGCATTAGGCTCCCAAAAACTTTTTTTTGTTGTTGATGATTTTGCACTTTTTGTCGATGTTCTTCAATCTTCTTTCTGCAGAAAAGAAGGCTACATACCAAGTAATTATGTTGTGGAAGCAGAAAGGGGACTTGAAAGATTTGAGTGAGTAGAAAGCTCAATTTTCGCCCACTAACTGGTGTTTGGGGTTGAACTATTTGATGCATCACATAAGCTGCTTTTAAAGAAAAGTGATAATGACTTTTGTTTTCACAGTTGGTACTCCAAAAACACGAATCGTAGTCAAGCAGAGCAGCTTTTGAAATCTGAGGTAAGCATAAGAAGAACCAATGTCTAAAATGGTCTATTAATCCATTCACCCATGTGTTTCTGATAAAAAGTTTAAGAGTTATGGAATGTGAGCTGTAACCTATTTTCAGAACAAAGATGGAGGTTTCCTGGTACGAGACTCAAGCAAAGCTGGGAAATACACTGTGTCTCTGCTCACCAAAGGTGGCATGTAAGTAACCTCACATGGGGTTAAAACACTGCTACCATTTATATAGTTCATCCCCTGGCTCCACTCATGCATGAACCTCTGAAAAGAAGAACTGTGTGCTGAAAGCGGAAACTGCAGGCCACAGAGGGAGGGAGATGTAAATTAATCATGCAAAACTTGGACTAATCTGTCTACAGAACTATGTTTTTGTTAATCTACGTTTGGAGCCATCTCTGGATAAGAGTGGGGTGATAATCGCTCCACAGCCTTATATGATCCCTGACTGGCTTCCTGTGACATTATTTTTTTCTCCACAGGGAAACAGGTGGAAGCTGCAGACATTACAATATCTGCACGACCCCACAGGGACAGTTTTATCTGGCAGAAAAGCATCATTTCAACACTATTCCAGAACTCATCAACTATCACCAACACAACGCAGCAGGTCAGCATCTGGACATGGTGATAGCAAAATAAGGACTCTTTTTACAAGCAGAAACTATGCTTACCCACATTTATTTCAAATTAAACTACAAATACACCAGAAAAGGAAACAAATGGCCAATACTGATTTATTCATTTATTTTTGGTCGACTGTTACCAACCAAGGATTCCAGATAAAAGCTAATCAAAAGATTTCTGATTAAGGTAGCAGCTTTGATTCTAATTTATAGGAGTTACACATTCCAAACTATTTCCCCTACTTTTATCAGTTTTTTTATTCAACTGCATAAAAATCCATGGTTGATGAAATGAAATCATATTTATCAGCATTTCACCCATCGGACACCAACTATTGAGTCAGTAAAAAGAAAATATGGTAATTGCTTTTCTCAGAAGTTTAATGCTTTTCTAAATAAAGTTGTTAATCTTGTTAAATTAAAACATTTTCTTTATTTTATTTTTTGAATTAATAACATTTTTTTTTTTTGCATATTCAATATAGATAATAAGCCTAAAGTTTTACTACAATTTTTGTTCTTAATTTCACTTTGTGTAGTGGCCTAATGGGGTAGTGGTGTGAAATTTAAACAAGATGTATTTTTACTTTAAATTAATTCATAATGTTATATAATTTTAAAAAAGGACAGGTGACTTGATTGTTCCTGTTTACAAATAATAAAATGGTTGCCAGCATTACTGTGAAATGTGAGTCAAAGAGGCTCTGATGTAATCCTGTCTCCTTTCCTCCACAAAACATTATCAAGTATTTTATTTTAGCTATTTAAAATAGAGAAAATATTCACACTAGAACAGGATGACCGAAACAGGAAACTACCATGACCATAAATCATGTGTTCCCCACTCATACACAGACAATTGTTTATCTAGAGATATAACTCTGTTCCAGAAACACTCTATAGATGATGCTGTAGGTTTACTGCCTTAAAAAGATTCACTTTAAATCAGTTTATCCTATTTCTGTGGTGTCATTTCCCAAAAGTTGTTTTGGGCTACTTTAAATTAACAAGCAAATTCAGGTTTACTAAGAAAAAGGGAAAAACTTTTATTTAACAAATGCCAATTTGATTAGAGCTAAATTGTAGAATCAAATGATCAGCTAAAAAGAGAACCTATATCTTATCTGATTTTTTTCTCCTATTACCAGGTATGGTCAGCAGGCTGAAGCACATTGTATCTAATCGAGCACGTCCTCCTTCAACTGCAGGACTGGGTTATGGTAAGATGTTTTTGTTTTCATCAGAGGTAGCCTAATTCACTTAATTAATTTATGAAAATGTAAGTAAAGATGAGAGCAACTTAAAAAAAAAAAAAAAAAAAACTGAGGCCAAAGAAAAGCTATTCAACACCTAATAGATGTTTTTCACCCCAACACTTTTATTGTTTGGATTAAATATTCTTACGTTATTTCCCAACTTGTTTTTTCCATGATTATCATAGGATGTAATAAGTTATTTTTACCATAACTAAAAACTGTGACTCTCTTTTCATTTCAAACTAAGAGAGGATTGATCAACTCACTTTGGCTCTATAGAGCAAAAATCCCTTTTTTCTTTAGCAACAAGTCCTTGTTTGAGTTGGGTTTTTAAACTTTAATTATACTAAAAACAGAATTGAAGCATGTCTATACTTGGAATATGATCAGTGTATGGCACTTACAGGTGGATTATTTAGACTTATTTTTTAACTATATGATGATATCAAATAATACAACGTTGCAAATATTCTAGTTAATATTCTAGTACTGAACACGTTATGAATATTAAGCAGTTAAAGTAAGAACAATATTCTACAATAACATATTTTGGGACATTGTCTATGGGTATGCTAATGTTTGGGGTGATTTTGGTAATCTCTGTTCTATATTATCGATATTTGCTTAACCTATTCTGAACTTAAAAAGCAAGTAACCCGAATAATGGTCATTGCATTCATGATGCATTCACAATTAGTCAGAAATGTAAAGAACAGGTTTGGTACCCAATACGGCCGTGTATTTTAAAATGTTTAAAAGCTGCTGAAGGGAAAAGGGTTTTAGGGGATCTGAATTTATGCAGCACAGGAGTAAATTGGTGGTTTATGATTAATTGAACTCAATGGCAGAATTTTTCATGTAATCTATCTACTTTCTAACATGTTCTGTTGGATTTTAAGCTGAAAGAATTAGCAACAGTTTCCAAGCATTTCCACAGATTCCAGGTTGCAGCATTTTAATGAGGCTCGTTTGGTTTGGCTTTATTGATTCCTATAGTTGAGGTTGTAACCTCACTTGGGTTCTTTGATTAACCAGTATTATGTTTTTGCAACCCACTTAGATAGATTTATAATAAAGTGCTTAAAGATATAAAAGCATCACTTTAAAAGAATGGACATGATGCTGTTTGTAATATTATTACATGTGTGGTTAAATGATTTTGAACAAAAGTTGATAAAGTCACTAAATATTTTGGGTCATGAGTCGATTGGCACCATTTTGTGGGTCATTTATAGAGCTAGATCTTCAGATTCACCTCAGATCTGTTCTTGTCGCTTAAAATAATCTACTACAATAATGTAAATTAGAAAGCATCACAAAATATAAACATAACAATATGACAACACCAACACCAGAGACGAATATTATGCTTATAGCATATCTCGTATATTTGAATCACCTAAAAAAGTTTTTATTTTAACTAAACAACAATCAGATCTTTACATTAAACATAAACCATTAACTGTATCAGTAGCCTTGCTCAGCCACCGCTCACCACACCCATTGCGAAAAAACCAACATGTCTATCATGTCTGCAGCTGTAAGGCCCGACACAGCATTACAGCATTTCTCTAATAGAACATGTGGCTTTGAAACTTATTGCTGATGTAACTATTACATAATATGCAAACTGTTCATGATTAAACATTTGTTGCTATGCTTGAATTGAAAACTACTGAACACATTCATTCCAGCTTTAGTTGCCAGAATAACACAACTATCTATTTTATCTAGCAGCTTGCTTCCCTCCACTGCGAAAGCAAGATTTTCATCTAAAAAGTGAAAATTATGTTTCAGCTTATGTATTAATTTCTGTCCTCTTTAACAGTAACAAAAATATTGTATTCATCCCCATTAATGACTGAAATTCTAATTTTTTGTGTCCGTTTGTCTCAGTTAGCTATTCAGTTTCCCCATCTTTATTTACCGACTAATGTGATTCATGAAACCAGGTTTCTGTGAGTCAAATTTAAAGAGTTAGTTTGTCACCAGTTGTAAATATAAAACATGTCTAACAGGAGCCATGGCTTAATGACACTACAATAGGCCCATAAGCAACATTATCTGGGTGGGCCCCAAATGAAGTACAACAGCTCTCCTTCTTTGCTTTTTCTTTTCTGGAATCCGCTTAAGTACCTCTTTTTTGGTATCCATCGTCGCTAACAGATTGTTCATAACAGTTATGGTTTTAATCTACGCTCTGGATTACCAATAATTCCAAGTCGTATAGTAAAAAATAAAATACTCAAATACATTGTTCTTTTAAGATCTTTATTGTGGTTTGAAACATATTATAGGAGTGTATTTTTACCAACCGTCTAATAAACTATACACAGTTAATAACATAGTTATAAAAAAGGACCACTGTCTGCTTTGCTATTGGTGTCACGTTTAAATGGCTCAACATCTTGTTTAAATCTGGCATGTGTTGGGGTATAAATAAGGTCTGTACAGTCAATCAAATATCAGGTGGGTTTAAGAGGAATTTTTCCGCACTATTACATCTGCAAAGAAACGGCCTAGTCCACAATTGTGTAGAGGGCCAACCAGGTGTCAGTGACGGGGCCCCAAGGAGGTCGGGGGCCCCTAAGGAACTGCAGTCTCTGCTTACCGACAGTGACGCCATTGAAAAGGAGAGTCACCCTTATTTTATAGTAGGCCTAATAAGTTCTTGCTATTGTCTTTATCTTAATGAACTAGCTTTTTAACCCCTAATGAATTTTTGTCAAGCTTACTCACGATTTTCACATGTTCATAACAGAGGCTAAAAGTAGAATAGAATAGAATTCAACTTTATTGTCATTGCTTTGTCACAAGTACAAAGCAACGAAAATAACTCTCTGCATTTAACCCATCCCCTTGCTTAGAAGTGGGCTGCCATTGTGCGGCGCTGTGTGGGGTTAAGGGTCTTGCTCAGGGACCCAGAGTGGCAGTCTGTGGGAGTGAGGCTCAAATTCAGAACCTCTGAAAAAATAAAGCAAACAAATGTTGGTTTTTTTAAAGTTTTGCTGCCAAGTTAAAAGCATGTGTTTTTTTTTGTTTTTTTTCAGGTGTTTGGGAAATTGACCCGCGGGATCTCACTTTCATCAAAGAGCTGGGTAACGGCCAATTTGGAGTGGTGAAGTATGGAAAGTGGCAGGGCCAGCATGATGTGGCCATAAAGATGATTAAAGAGGGCTCCATGTCTGAGGATGATTTCATTGAAGAAGCCAAAATCATGATGTAAGTCCTGAATGTTACAGAACTTTTGTGTCAAATGAGAAAGATTATACCCCGCAAACACTACAGGAAAAACCTGTTAACCTCCTTCTTATTTGGTTCAAACAAGGAAGCTTCGCCATGAGAATCTGGTGCAGCTGTACGGCGTCTGTACCAAACAAAGACCTATTTATATCGTAACTGAGTTTCTTGCAAATGGATGTCTCCTAACCTACCTAAAGGAGGGGCTGAAACAACACCCGACAACAGTCCAGCTTCTTGAGATGTGCAAAGACGTATCCGAGGGCATGGCCTACCTTGAACAGCAGCAGTATATACACAGAGACCTGGTAAGAGGCAACGACCAACTGTTGAACATTTTAAACAAAATCTCATTAGATTCAGGATAGGATTACCAATGTTTAGGCATTACGTGACAAGTCTAGTATTTCATTGATTATCCTTTATCCTGATTGTGTTGTTTGTTTTACCTTTAGGCTGCCAGGAACTGTTTAGTAGATTCTAACGGCACAGTCAAGGTGACTGACTTTGGTTTGTCAAGGTAAAGCATTTAATGTGTAACAAATTGGAACAAAGGAGACTTGTGAGTTCACAGCGTGACTTTAAATTCCTTTCCTATTATCCTAGATATGTTTTGGATGATGAGTACACAAGCTCAGCAGGCTCAAAGTTTCCAGTCCGCTGGTCACCTCCAGAAGTACTGCTATACTGCAAATTCAGCAGCAAGTCAGACATCTGGGCTTATGGTGAGAAGTCTGAGTGGTTCATTTTGTTTATATGAACAGCCAATGAGATGATGTTTTTCACTTTAAAAGTGATCTTGAATAATTGTTTAAGAAGGTATTTTTTCCATGTACTTACACTGCTTCTGGTGCAGTGTTTGCATAAAATGTTGAAGCTAGAGACAGGCTGACATAGCACCAGTTTGTCCATGTTTGGGTTCATTGTCTCTAAATCCCTCTAGTTCTATTTTAAGTAGTATAACAACCACAGACAGACAGAAAAATGTCAGAAGTTTGTTAGGCACTAAACTGACAAGGGAAAAGAAAAGAATAAATTACTCAGAAAGACCTTCAGAAAGTTTTGACTGAAGACTTTTGCAAAGCACTGTTTCTGATTAGTGTTGACTCCTTGATTTAGTGAATCTTAGATGTATCTGTTGTTTATCAGGAGTTTTAATGTGGGAGGTTTACACACTGGGGAAGCTTCCATATGAACGTCTTAACAATACAGAAATAGTGGATCAGGTGTCCAGAGGCCTGCGTCTCTTCCGTCCACAACTGGCCAATGAGAAGGTCTACAGCATCATGATGCTCTGCTGGAGTGATGTAAGCTTGTTTCTTATCTCATCCTTAGCCTAAAAAAAAAAAAAAAAAAACACATGCGCTTAACTGTTTTTTTTGCCTTTTCTTTTACAGAAACCGGATGAAAGACCCACCTTCCAGGAGCTGGCATATAATGTTCAAGATTTGCTGTATGAACTCCAATAAACCTGAGAATAATTTATAAACACAAACAGGAGTCTCTGGTCCTCAGAGAGAAGCTCCCCAATGGGAAACATTGAGCATAATTAAAACAATTGAAACTTTAAATGTGTGGATGAGCAGCTTTTTAAAGCTTATCTAGAATGTGAACTGTTTTAATGCAAATGTCACTTTTAGTCACTAGCTTTTGCATAACATTAATAAGACTGCAGTTCTATGAACCATATTTAGATTTTGTTTATATTATTCTGAAGGTTGTTTAATTAAACATGACAGTTTTGTTTGTACTCTGTGAAATTGTTGTGAACACACTTGTATGTAAAAATAAATTTTGTAAGCTGATATATGTTGCACAAATAAATGCCAAGTAAAAGTGGCTTATGAGATATAATGTGTAGAAAACAGAACCTTTCTCATTTTATTTGTATTCTGTTGGCACATTTATATTTTTAAACAAAAAAATAAGTAAGCATTTTTAAAGAATGGATTAAATTGAAAACGTCCATCGATCCATCCATGCATTGTTCGCCCCCCCTAAAAAACTAATAAATATGATAAAATGAAACATAAAACATTAAAACATTATGATAATCAATAAATATCGAATGTTTCTTAAACAGATAATAGGATTGTATACACCTGTTTTTTCTGGGTTTTTTTTTTGTTACTTTCTTGAAGTTTAAAATAATAAAAGGCATTAGTCCATAGAGGAGCTATAAGGCATGAGTAAATGTCTGTAAAGATAATTTGACAAACCAAGTAAATTAGAGTTAAAGGATCTCTGACTGTGACTGGCTGGATGTACTTTCTCCATCCTCTGACATGTGAGTTGGCTCGGAGCTCGTCTCCTTGGCTGTGTGTTTCTTGCTTTTTGTATCTCTACTTCTCCTTGAACCCTAGTCGGCCTCTGCAGATGGCCACTCATGCTGAGCCTGGTTCTGCTGGAGGTTTCTTCCTGTTAAAAGGGAGTTTTTCCTCTCGACTGTCGCTACAAGCATGCTTAGTGTGAGGGATTACCTGCAATCAACTGCTTTTCCTTAGATAGAAAACTCTGAATTTGGCTGTATGATCTGGTGAACTGTGAAATGCCTTGAGATGACATTTGTTGTGAATTGGCGCTGTATAAATAAACTGAACTGAATTGAACCACACAGTTCAAAAATCCTAAAACATAAATCAAATTATGTCAAACCGTGGGATTTGGGCGCTCATACTGCGTTCCACATATTTATTCTTTCTTTTTTATTATTAAATAACTTACATTTTATTGTTTTATGACAAACGGCACAACGTTACGTCAGGATGACCTTTCGTCACACAAACGCGCCCCATGATTGGCTTAGCTACTTCCGGCTTCCCGTTGTTCAGTCGCACACGTGAAGGTCAGCAAAAACAGCCACCCGGCTCTGATCATTAGGATTAATATCGGCCCTCCGGCTTTGTTTAAGGGAGAGATGGACGGTCAGGGAGCCACAGCCGATCCTCAGCTGCAACATTTTATCGAGATCGAGTCTCAGAAGCAGAGGTTTCAGCAGCTGGTGCATCAGATGACTGAGGTTTGCTGGGTAAGACCAACGGTTTCATAGCAGCATGTTGATCTGTATACTTTGGTGCAGGTTGGAGCGCTGTTAGGGAAGCTGCAGATATATGTTATGCTTGTTCTAAACATGCAAAAATATTCTAAATGTTTAGGCAGCCTTCTCAAATAATGCCTGAATATATAGCTGATTAGGCAAACATATGGGAAGCTATCTATCTGTTTATCTATCTATCTATCTATGTATGTTTATCTATCTGTATATCTATCTTTCTCTCTGTATCTTTCTGTCTTTATATCTATCTATATATATATATATATATATAGATATGTCTGTATATCTGTCTATATTTATCTATCCATCTATCTGTATATCTTTTTGTATATCTATCTGTCTGTGTATCTATGTATCTGTATATATATTTCAATATGGTATATAGATAGATAAAGCTATCTCTCTCTCTCTCTCTCTATCTATCTATCTATATATATATATATATATATGTGTATATGTATGAATGAATGAATAATATAATTTTCAGAATTGTGACAAATCCCTGTTTCTTTCTTAAGTTTCCCAGTAGTAGAATATAATGGAGTGTATGTTCTGGTTGATATGGATTAATTAATTTTGATGTTCATTATTTAAAACTGTGTCTCTGCAGGAAAAATGCATGGATAAACCAGGACCCAAGCTGGATTCCAGAACAGAAGCATGCTTCGTTAACTGTGTGGAGCGGTTTATAGACACCAGCCAGTTTATCCTCAACAGACTGGAACAGACTCAGAAGAGCAGGGGGGGATTCTCCGAGACAATGTTGGACTAAAAAAAAACGGACAGTTTTTGCAAACAGCCTCATGACTGGGTGCTCCACTTCATCCCGACACAGCTGTCTGCATAGTAAGCTGGGGAGAAGAACTACAGCCAGTGTTACCTTTAAAAACAAGTGCCTGAGATTAAAACCATGTACAGATCTGTGTAAAAGTCTACTGTCTAAAGGATAATGAGTGTTAGATGCTGGTAGGTTTCTAGTTCTGTCAGCTTATTAAAATCATAAAATGCAAACTGTCAAGCCGAGTTTGGATGTGGGGAGATGTTTTCCTGCTAAATGAACTGCACTAAAAAAAGTTAGTCAGTAAAACCACCTGGCACTTAACAGACACTAGAGTGTAAATATGCAATAATCAAAATGCCAAATCAATTTGTCAAGCCTTTTAAAATGCTTGTACAGTGAATAGAAAGGTAAGCACACCCTCCCTCATATACCTAATTTTTGTTAAGATATATATTTTTTTCTTTTTCCACCTTTTACTGCAACCTATAAGATGCTCATCTCCATGTTACAAGAAAAGTATTTTATGCATAAAATCAGAACTGAAAAACTTTTCTGTATGTATGAACAACATACCTTTATTCTATGGGGATTTTGTAGTATTTGCAGACGATTTCCCAAAATTTGTGTGACGTCTCCTGTGCCCTATTGTCTCCAGATCCTCCTACTAGAGTTCAGGTTGGGTCTCTATATGCCCAATATCTCTATCTAGTGAACGCAATGGTTGAAGTAAATTAGGTGTTTGCTTTAGGTTGTTACTTGATTCAAATGATTGCAGCTCAACAAAAGCCTGTTAATTAATTAATAAAATTAAAGTGTGCTGAAAAAGGGGAAACAAAACATGGATACCAGCCCATGAGGACTGACTCTGGACACCACTGCTTTAAGTCATCATCGTGATTAAGATCTTCAGTTGTTTAGCCAAAGCATGAAGTTTTGTGAGAAGATTGAGAATTGAAAATGGAAACTTTTGATTATACTTTTCTCGTTGGCTAATGTTCCAATTCCACACCCAAATCATTATACCGCCACTACCATGCTTTTTCATGTCGCCATCATGTTTTGATAATGTCGTTATTTTCACAGCAAACATCAGTTTAAAAATCATCTTTTGTTTCATGAAACCATACAATATTTTCTTTTGTAATGTAGCTCTACCAGTTTCCCTCCTTATGTAGCTGTTTTTGTCACATTAAAGGTGAAAAAGGTTCTGAAAGTATGTCTTCTTGCAATCATAATACCTGGCATTTTAAGAAAAAGCCGACTTCTTGTTTCAACAATAAGTGCGCCTATATTTTATTAAATTAATCTGCTAAACATGACATTCTTTGGTTTGGAGTTTTTAACATAATACTGAGGTAATGCCAGAGGTCAATGTCACTTTTAAGAGCAAGCAGACTTAAGACTTGGTGTTAAATTACACTGCAAAAATAGATGGGGGGGAAAAAGTAACAACTTGAAATAAGTGTGTTTGCCCTTCATTTTATCAAACATATATCTGGCAATGGAATGAGCACTTTGGCTGCTTAAGAAAAGATAAATATACTTATCTTGGAGTAAGATTCTTTTGTTATAAGCACACAAAATCTTATTCCACTGACAGATCATTACTTAACTACTCAACCAAGTGGAAAACTACTTTTGTTTAAACTTTTCAGTGCAGTCAACTACTTTTTCAAATAAAGCAAAAAGTGCTAAACTGTAAAAAAAAAAAGATAATGCTTTCAGTATTAAAATGCAAAATATTAAATACAAAAAAATATATTTTGTTCCAATTCAGAACAAGAACTCAGATACAGGAGGAAGTTAAAGGCTTTACAGTCTATTAAACGTAAAGAGTTTGGTTTTAGATAAGTCCATAGGTTCTTTTTTTTTTTTTTTTTTATTTATGAGGCCCTCCCTTTCTTTCACCATGTCTGGTTAACTTTCTCTCATCTTCTGCTTGGATATCATCAGGAAGAGCCAGATATGGTTGTTGGCCCCCTGGGAACCAATCAGGGCTTTTTCTCAGGTATAAAGGAAGGGAGTCGAGGCTGTATGTAATGTCTTTAAAGGCATGGAGGAGAAAAATCCCCAAAATTATGGTAAGGAATCCGCTGATTGTCCCAATGACACCATCGACGTTCATTTTCAACCACTCCTTGAACAGGATGGCTGAACAAGCCATGACTGATGTGGTGAAGAAGACGTAGTAAATTGGCGTGACGATGGAGGTGTTGAAAATGTCCAGAGCTTTATTCAGGTAGCTGATCTGAATGGTGACGCAGATGGCCAGGCAGATGAGTAAAGCCCAGAATAGGGGATCCTTCAGCACCGCCGTCCCTGAAACCAGCTCCTTCATTCCAATCCCGAGACCTTTGACGCAAGACACTGAGAGCGAGCCAATCACAGAACAGATCAGGATGTAGACGAGAAAGTTTTTCTGTCCGAAGCGAGGGGCCACAGCAAAGATCAGGACTAAGCTGCTTCCAACAACACACACAGCAAACACAAGGAAACCTGGTAGAAACACAAGAGGCAATATTAGAATAATGGAAATCAAGGTGCATTAAGACTTTTTTTAGGTCCTTGATGCATATATATATATATATATATATATATATATATATATATATATATATATATATATATATATATATATATATATATATATATATATATATATATATGTGCATCGCCATTACTGGGCGTTTTATCTCTGTGTGTTTTGGGTCATCCTCTTAAAAGACCCATAATCAGCGACTGAGTCCAAGTTTTTTGGCCCTCGACATCAAATCTCTCATTCTCTGGTCCATGTTAAGTGTGATACACACCATGTATATATGCATACATACAAGCCACATTAGCTGTGTGATTATTTGAAGCAAATTCACAATACCTACAAGTTTTCAAGATTCCGCTATCAGTAAAATCACAGATAAAGACGTTAAACTACCTGGGTCCTTTAGTTTCTCAGCCATTGCGCTTAGCGAGGCGACTTCCTCTTCCTGTGGTGCATGAATCACCATGACCGTCGAGCCCAAGATGCAAAGCAGACAACCAATCTTCCCATGAACGTTCAGCCTCTCGTTTAGAAAGTATGAAGACAGCACAGCACTGGAAAAGTAAAGGTATTATCAGTAAAAATGTTTGAAAAAGGAGTCTATAAAAAAATCTATATTAAGAACATATATAGAAAACATTTCTCTCATTTTTTAAGGGATTACGGTCCCTTAAAAAAGTATCTATACCATTCGCGTTGATTAAATAAAAAAGCTGAAAATTAATATGAACTTAAATGAAAGTGACTATCCAGGTGATTATTTTCAAAGTTTTACATATTAAAATCTGAAAAGTGTGATTTGCATTTATTTCCCCCTCCTTTTTTTATAACCCTGAATTAAACCAGCTACCATAGTTACCTAGTTGCATCCTAGTTGCTGTATTTTATTCATTGATGCTTTTAGAGTTAACTTGCTTTATCTATCATAAAGTCTTCCAACACCTCAACTTGGTGTCAGGATGGTCTAGACGCTCATCTGATCAGGAACGCTCAAAGCTGGTCCTCAAGGGCCACTGTGCTGCAGGTTTTTGTGATCTCCCTGCTCCAGCACAGCTAATTTCCATTCATAGCTGATTAGCAGGCTTTTGTTGAACTGCAAACACCTGAATCAGCTGTGTTGAAGCTAAGAAACAAAAAGCTGCAGGACAGCTGCCCTAGAGGACCAAATTTGAACATGCCTTGTCCAAATTGTGGACATACGCCAATATGTATCAGATGCTCTTTGGAAGGATCCCCAGTTATTTTCCTTTGCCTGTCTCTTGTGTGATGATGGATATATTAGAGAGATTGGCTTGGCTTTACTTGCTTAATAAAGCAAGAGAACATCTTTGTCGCCCTCCTCTGTGCTGCATCTTGATTCACCAAACCTTTAAGAGGCAAGCAAAGTTTAGAGAATTTCACCACTTGCCCCAGGAGCTGCAGGCAGACAAAGCACACTGCGAGATGCACGAAAAGCGCTGCAGGATCTCTTGATGCACATCCACCGCACACTTTGCATGAAATTACATGCCTCTGAAGCTCAAATCATATTTGGTCTGAAAGCTCCTTAGAGCCACCTAGCCGTCCTCAGAGGTGTGTGGGTGAATATTAATAAAGAACTAAAAAACACATCTGAACTCAAAGGCCAGGCATGGAGGGAGTTAATGAGAGAAGCAACCAGGAGGCCAATGGTAACTCTGGAGGAGCTGAAGAGACAAACAGCTCAGATTAAAGCAGTCCTGAAGAGCATAGAAGGAGAAGGGTCCATAGCAGACGTGAAAGCCTATCTCCTTCAGCCTATAAATCACTGAATGGATCAGCACCTCAATAAATAACAGATTTGTTGACATTGTATCAACCTCCCAAACCACTCAGGTCTTCTAGTTCAAGCCTACTCTACCTAGAACTAAAACCAAACAGAGAGAAGCAGCATTTAGTTCCTATGCTCCACTTATCTGGAAGAAAATTCCAGAAGACGGTAAAAGGGCTGAAACTCAAAATCAAAAACCAATTTTTTTAGAACTGCCTGACTGTTGAAGTTAAACTGTTAACCGTTGTATTATTACTTCACATTTGTGGTTCAACACTTTTATTTACTTTACTGCTCGTTTTTGTTGTTGCAGCGAATTGATATAAAGCACTTTGAATTGTCTTTGTACTGAAATGTGCTATGTAAAAAAATAAAAAATAAATGTTTCTTGCCTTAAAAAAAAACTCACAATGAACATCCCCTACTTAGAAGACATGGTGTCAGCTGCATCATGCATAGGAGATTCTATTTCTGACTGTGGACTGAAGCTGTTTGTGGTTAATTTCAAAATATCAGTGAGGATCAAAACTAAACATACACCCAGAGCTGTGAAACAAAAAAAAAACATTGAAATCAGTGGTACAAAATGTCAACATGTACAAAGATCAATTGGTCGAGAAAGCTGGTAACAAATGCCTGCCACACTTTTCAGATTTCCATTTGTAAAAATTATAGAGAGAAAATGATTTTCCTTCCACTCCTCAGTCTTGCACTATTTTGTGTTAGTCTTTTACAAAGATCCCATAAGAATACATTAAAGATTTTGGTAATAATGCAAAAAAAGGAGGAAAAAAAAGGTTAAACTACTTTTGCAAGATGGTGCATTCCTGTATCTGTGCACATTCCAACTAACAGCATATGAAATAAGAGGTTGAATACCTGACAAGTACACTGAGTGCTCCAAGGGGGGTCACCAGTGTTGCTGGTGCGAACGCATAAGCAGCAAAGTTGGCAGCTTCTCCTGCTCCCACTACAGCACATTAAATACACCATTAGAAAGAGTATACTTCTTTCAACCCACATGTGCACATCTCTGAACATTACCACCAGTAGTGTGGCGAGTCTACAACAATACCAAACCCACAAGTTGTTTGACAAAGGTTACAGTGTTTCTGGGCATGTGGCGGATGTGCAATGAAAGGAAGCTGACTGAATAAATCATCCACTTACTTGAAATAAGCCCCGCCCACCACAGCCATTCTTTTAGATAGGCATAACCGCCTTGACCTGTGACATAAAGACAGCAGAAATATCAGCATAGCACCGGTTTAATCTGAATAACAAACATTGTTCCTGTTTACTTCTGTTTTAATGCTGATTTTGCACAGTAAAATGGGAACCACCTGATACGACCTGAATGAGTACATTCCCCCACTGTGAGATCAATAAAGTTAATCAATCAATACATCAGAACAATCCTAACCTACACTCAGTGAATCACATGTGTACAAACCATGGCTAGTGAATATACACATTATTTAAAAAAAAACAACAACTTTAAAATCTTAAATAAACATAATGTAAACTTCCCTATTTATCTCTACTAAACTATGTGGTGCTCTGATTGTCTCTCACTACAAGATTTTGTTGTTTTTCTTGAATTTAATATATTTATATTTTATTTTGGTTTATTGTCTTGTCTTCCCCTTTTGTATGTGGTTGCATATTTATTTAAGCTCTACGTCTCATGATCTGTTTGGCTCCTCCTTTTGTTTGGTTTGAAGCTTACTAAGTTTAACATCAAATGGACAAATAAACTGATAGGGCTAATTATTCAGAGGGAAAATGTCTGTATTAACAGAAAGACATTCTTAAAAAAATAATAAATCATGGAATATTAATGATTGTATAACTGACACTATGTACAAAATCTTGATGCAACAAGTCTTTACTGTATCTGCTGAATTTTGGCAACGTTTAATGAGTTTTGGTTTCTAGAAGTGACTTGATGAAGTGTAGCTGATCAGGGGCGGAGCTAGATGGGCCATGGCCACCCTTAGCCAATCATTGGCCACCCCTGTGGCCACCCCTACTATTTTTCCCCTCTACAGATGGTGGCAGCAGTAATACTCTCCTGTGGAATATTCAAAACATTTAATTTTTTTGTGGTTAATTATACACATCAATATACTAACATCAAAGATGATAAATACAGAATTCGTGCTCTTTTCAGAACTAGATTTTGTGTTTCATGGGGTAAAGAGAAAATTATGTGTCTCTGCAAGTCATCTAGGAGTCTTCAGTGAAATCAAAGATAAATAACAATTTTAATAAAAACCTATCAAATAATCAATTTATGTAGATATTACTGCTTGTAAATATTAATTTTATGCAGAAATGTTATTGATACAAGCAGGTAAGTAATGACAATGGAAAAGATTTATGCCTCAGAACTCAAAACTGAGTTTTATCCACTATACCTTTTATCTAAAAATGACGGATGTTTAAATATATGCGTCTATTGTTAGTAAAAGGCTGTAGGAAAGTATAGTTAGTCTTCCTCTCCACATATATATAAGACTAATGTCTCAGCATGATCTGGAAAAACTAATCGATGTGTTTATTTTTAGTCGAATTGATTACTGCAACAGTGTTTTCACAGGTCTGCCTAAAAAGTGGATCAGACAGCTGCAGCTGATCCAGAACGCTGCTGCCCGTGTCCTCACTAAGACTAAGAAAGTAGAGCACATCACCCCAGTTCTAAAGTCCTTACAATGGCTCCCTGTATCTCAGAGAATAGACTTTAAAATACTTCTGTTAGTCTATAAATCTCTGAATGGCTTAGCACCTAAATACATCACAGATTTGCTATCAGTGTATCAACCCTCCACACCACTCAGGTCTTCCGGCTCCAGCTTGCTCTGCATACCTAGAACCAGAACTAAATATGGAGAAGCAGCATTTAGTTCCTATGCTCCACTTATCTGGAACAAACTTCCAGAAAACTGTAAAAGTGTGGAAAGCGTAAGTTCCTTTAAATCAAGAATAAAAACACATTTGTTTAGGATTGCCTTCGACTGTTCTAGTTAAACAGCTCAACTGAAACATAATTAGTTCAACTTTTTTATTTTCTTTAGTCCAACTGTTTTTAATGTTCTCTTTTGTTTCTGCATTTTTTTCTGTTTTATTTTCCTATATTTTAATCATGTAAAGCACTTTGCCTTGTCTTTGTACTGAATTGTGCTATACAAATAAATGTGCCTTGCCTTTATTTAGAAAATATGGATGTTTTGCTTGTCAATTTTCCTGTGGGAACAGTGCAGATTGACCCTGAGGTTCTGGTGCCTATCCGCTTTTGGCCATCCCTCAGTGTGCATTGGTTATTGCCTGGCCACCCTTATAAAAAATGTCTGCCTACGCCTCTGTAGCTGATTGGAACATTTATCAAGAATAAACAAATTATCTGCTACCATCACTTTAGTCGCCTTACTTTAAACCAGTAATAAAGAGAGAGGGATAGATAGCAGACATTCTGATTGAATATAAAAGAGCAGAACAGTGCTAAAAATGACTTTTCCCTTGTCAACCACATTACCTCATAAGAAATATAGGCTGCTCTTATTGCATGTTATACAGGTTATATTAGTACTTCATTAAGGGCTGTTTTATATAAATTATTTATCTAATCATCAGGAACTTCAGTAGGCACATTTACCAACAATAGTGTCAGAATCTACAGCAATGAAGCAACTTTATTCCAAAAAAATTATAAAAACTTTATTTCATGTAAGAACAAATTAACAATACAACAGGAAAAATCCTGAAAACACTGAAATTAGGTTAATTCCTTGGTAAAAAGCTTATTGAATTGAAAAAGTGTCATTTACCTACAGCAAAGTATAAACTAGAAAAAAAAAACGTTCACTACCTGCCCGTGTGGAGCCCTTTCTGGCCAATCGCAGCAGGCCTTTCTTTTTCAAGATAAAACTGGAGCCGATAAAAACACTGGAGCTCACAGCCAGAGAGAGGCCGATGTAGAAGTCTATGCGATTCCCTTCCATCTGTAAAACACAACTTTAAGAGTTACAACCTGAAGAAACCACCGAGTTTAGATCGGAAACTTTCCAGAAGTCAAGCAGCCGACATCATGTAAACATCACATGATGAGATCCCCTCCGAAAAGTTTAAACCAGCTTTTGTAGAAAAAAAAAAAAAAAACACTATTAAGAAAAATAAAAAATATATAATAAAAATATAATATAATAAAAATAATATTTTGCAGACTTTCAGAATGTTTTACCTCGATTGTCGACTTTGCTACATTAAGATGACAGCTGGGAGTGTAGCACCTGATTGGCTGTGGGGTGACTCTGCTACTTCCGGGTGTTTACCTTGGAAACAAGAGGAAGCCACAGGCTGGGTTCGCATCATCCCCGCGCCGGCGAAAAAAGAGGCGCAAGTCAAAGGCGGGGTTTCAACCCCATCTCAGCTCAGGGGGTTCGGTTCCAACAGGTCTCTAGTCAAAACTGGCGAGTTCTATATAGAGTCCCATTCGTTGCCTTTACATTTCAAATCACTCGGAATTCGTAATAAATTATATAACATAAAGAAACAAACACATTTTTTTGCTGTAATTCTACAAAATAATTAATTTCTTTCTTTTCCAATAAAGTTATGTGAAAAAAGTTCGTAAGAGTCTGGTAATCCGATTGGTTGGTCTGATCTTTTCACTGCTCTGATTGGATGATGAATTCTTCACCCATCCCGGAAGTTGCATTTACATTTTATCAGAAGTCGTAATAAATTGTATGGCGTAAAGAAACAAACACATGAATAAGCTCACCGTTATACATTTTTTTCAGCTGTAATTCTTTTTCTTTTCTTAACTTTAAAACATCAAGCACAAACCTTTCTTATTCCAATAAAGTTATGTTAAAAAAAAAAGTTCGTAAGAGTCTGATAACCCGATTGGTTACTCTGATCCGTCCATTGCTCTGATTGGATGATGAATTCTTCACGCATACAGGAAGTTGGGCTAACCTTGAGCAGCAGGCTAAACGCATGCCTTGTGCGTTTATGCAAACAGCATTTTGATTACTAAAATCGCGTTGCCTTAATACATTTTCTTAGACAGAAAATGTAGGCTATCTTTTGTTTGGCGCACTGCATCGACTTTTTTCCTCTTGGTGACGTCATCTGCGATGTAAAGATGAAGTTTCCTTTTCTCTGTGTAATTAGAGGTTCTAAGATCATTCATAGATTCCACAGGAAAGTTGATCTGTTTCCTCTCCAGAGACCGTGGAGCTCTGCTGTGAATCACGGCAGCGACCAGCTTTGCAAAGAAAACTCCAGTTTCTACATAACAACCCCCATCTTTTATGTGAACGCTGCTCCTCATCTCGGACACCTATACTCAGCAGTCATAGCTGACTGTTTACACAGGTGGAAACTCCTGCAGGGCTTTGACTCCAGGTTTGCCACAGGTAAACACTACATCCATTACATCTATGTTCTTAGAGCTTTTTCAAATCGGTGTATTTTTTATGATATTTTTAATAGTTCAACACAAATTAGTGTATATGTACATGTTGACTTATGTTAAGTAAAAATCTGTAGAACATTTTACTGTTTATACAACTGCAGCTTTTATGGAATGCGTTTATTTGTAGTCATAAAATCAGTGCCCATTAAGCTCACGTTCAGTCAGACTAGAATAAGAGCGTCCACCAACAGCATGATGCTCCCTCCACCATGCTTTGCCTTGGCAACACTTCCTGGACAAATAGTATTTTGTATGAAGGCAAAAAGGTTTATTTTCGGTCTCTGCTGGTCCAGTCAATTTCTAACATGTTTGCTCTATTAGCTACATGGCTTTAGATCAGGTTTGTCAAAAGGGCCAATGTGCTACAGGTTTTTAATGTTCCCTTTAATGTTCCCTGCTTTTAGTTGCAGATGCAACAAACCTTGAATCAACCAATTCAATTCAGTTTATTTCTATAGCGCCAATTCACAACACGTCATCTCAAGGCACTGCTTAGCAGATAATAAAGTCAATCTGATTCAAAGTTTTCTATCTAAGGAAAACCAGTTGATTGCATTGACTCATTGACTTGAATGCAATCCCTCACACTAAGCATGCTTGTAGCGACAGCGGAGAGGAAAAAATCCCTTTTAACAGTCAGTGCCCAGTGTTAAAAGCTCTGGCTTTAAAATTTTATTCACTACGATTTACTAAAACGTCCACATCTATTCCAGGAAGCGTTGTATGTATTAATAAAATCACACTACACAGATGGATTTTAATTATTTATGTAATATCTAAAGGCTTTTAAATGGACAGGATTTTATTTAGCAGTATCAGAGTAAAGGGGGTTTCTACATCCCACCCTTTTAAGAGTTGTGATTGTAGAGAGATTTGAAAACAATGCCATTAACTTTCTTCCGCATCAGTTCTGTGCTACTTTGTCTAGGCCTATTACATAAAATCCTAATAAAAAATATTTAGGTAATGTGAGAAAATGTAAAAAAAAAAAAATATTTCAAGGGGAATAATACTTTTGTAAAACACCTTTTTTTTCTATATCACCTATTACAGATAATCACACTGTAAGCTTATTTAACGATTAATATAATGATGTCAAGATATATTTTCAAATCCCAGGAACGGACGAGCATGGCTTGAAAATCCAGCAAGCAGCGGAAGCTGCAGGTAAAGCCCCCCTGACCTTCTGCACTGAAGTTTCTGAGCGCTTCAGAAATCTCTTCAGCAGCTGCAACATTTCCTTCACCGACTACATCAGAACCACAGAACAGAGACACCGTCGCACTGTGGAGCATTTCTGGTCAGTGCTCTGGAACAAAGGGCTTATCTACAAAGGAAGCTATGAGGGCTGGTACTCCACACAAGATGAAAGCTTCCTCACGCCGTCGCAGGTCGGTGATGCTCTGGACCCATCGGGGAAGGAGGTCAAAGTGTCACTCGAGAGTGGACACAAGGTACTTGGCAAACTTTGAGATGATCTAATTTGCACATATATTTGTCTGGGTAGGGATTCATATTTATTGTCGCTCAATGGTTACCTGTTGGAGAAAATGTTTGCAAAAGCAGAGGAGAAACAGAATGATGTCACCTTAACAAGAAGCATTTTTAGAGGAGGCAATGCACGGTAGAGGCATCATCATACTGAGGGTCTTTTTCTCCACATGGGAAAGCCAAATGTTTTTTTAAGGGTCCTACAGAGCTGGTATCATGACTTTTTAACTTTTTTAAATCTAAAAACACTTCTAGCTGTTAAACTGTGGTGGCAGCATCAAGCTGTGGGCTTGTTTTAAAGTTGGTAAAACGAGTGACAGCTTTTTTTTCTTTCAAACTGAACATCAAAGCTACAGGTGCCTGAAACAAGGCTCTGCAACCAGGTAATCTAACTTTCCCAAATGGCTATTAATAACTGACTAAAAATATAACAATCCAACGAACAGATTTAAATATAAAGTAGATTTAACAAACGTTTAGAATTTTCAGGTAGAGTGACAGTGAAAGTGCCTGCATAGATCATACATATTATAGTTCAGTTTTTTTCCTTAGGTGGAAAAAAAAGTTTTTAAATGTCGAAAAATATCAGCATTTTATTTAATATATATATTTTTTTCTTTTCTGTAAACCTTAAAATTAAAAATGATAAAAGGATTTTCTCTGAAAATAACAATAACTTCTTGTATTAGATAATTAGCATTAATTACAAATGTTCACTTTTTAAAAATCATGTAACAGTTGCTGCTCTTGCTTTATTTAGCTGAGCTGAATGAAATATGTTCTCTTTGGACTGGAAAGGTTGCAGACTTCTGTTCTAGAGGGACAAGGATCCCAAACATGCAGGAAGAGAGAACAAATCAGAGCAGCTTTGCTTCTGGAAAGCTCTCGATCGAAGCCCTGTTACAAACGCCTTCAATCTAGATTATGTTAAATCAGGATTTGTCAGCATTTGATTAAAATATTGTGTTGCAATTCTGCCAAGAAAAGTAGTGAAATATTCAGTAACATTATTCCAGCAGGCTCCAGAACCTGGATTAAGAAGTGCAGCGTGTTTTTGGATAGGGTTGTCACGATACTAAACTTTTTAACTCGATACCGATACTAAGTAAAATACTTGATATATTTTCATGACTAAAAAATTACAAGAAATAAATAAAACAATAAGAATTATATTTTGAGGTTGTATGCTGGGCACAATATTAAGCAAGCTTGATAAAAAACTTACAAAATTAAAATTAAGTGTTCCTTCCTTGGCTATGCTTTGCAGACATAACAATGACACTAGCCAAACCGGTTAAACAAAAATAATTCTCAGCAGCTGCACCTGTTACAAAAAAAAGTCTGAAACTGAAAAATGCACAGAATTATTCAATCACAGTGTTGAGAAAGTGCATTTTCCACTTTTCTGCACTTTAGATGGCTGTATCGATACTTTTGAAAATGAGTATTGTATCCGGATACGTTTCAGTATCGATACTTTTTTGAGTATTGATACTTTTGACAACCCTATTTTTGGAGCATTTGACCTTATCCGCTGTATGTGCATGTATGAGTTGGAATGTATAACCACGGAGCGCTCTATAGTCTGGGATCACTATAGCTCTGAAATATGTGCTAGAAAATGTAATTGCAGAAATTTGGCAACTTTGGCTAAAATCACAATCTAATTCCCAGTATAATAAGTGATCTCACCGTCTCGCAGGTCGAATGGATGAAGGAGGAGAACTACATGTTCCGTCTGTCCGTGTTTCGGCCTTTCCTCCTCGACTGGTTGGTGAAAAATCCCAGAGCGGTCCAGCCAGAGCGCTTCCAGCAGACCGTTCTGCACTGGCTGCAGGAAGACCTCCCAGACCTTTCCGTGTCCCGCCAGAGAAGCCGCCTCCAGTGGGGCATCCCAGTTCCAGGAGATCCCGAACAAACCATCTACGTATGGTTAGACGCTCTTGTGAATTACCTCACAGTCGTCGGATACCCAGACAAACACGATCAGTGGTGGCACGCCGCCCACCACGTTATAGGAAAGGACATCCTGAAGTTCCATGCCCTCTACTGGCCTGCTTTCCTTCTGGGAGCTGGGCTGCCTCTGCCTCAGGTCATTCATGTGCATTCGCACTGGACTGTAGGAGGGAGGAAGATGTCCAAGAGTTTAGGTAACGTTGTGGACCCTTTTGAGCACTCTCAGATGTTTACAAATGATGGTATGAGGTACTTCCTGCTGCGCCAGGGTGTCCCCGACTCAGACTGCGATTACACTCATGACAAAGTTGTCAAACTTCTCAATGCAGAGCTGGCTGATTCCTTGGGGGGTCTGTTGAACCGCTGCACAGCTCCGGCTCTTAACTCAGCTCAGGTCTACCCTGCTTTCTGCTCTCAGGCCTTCTGCAGAGCTGTGGCTGAAGATCA